CCAAAAAGAGCTATTACAAAAGGTAATGTGATGATGCACGCTGGTTAGTTTGTATGCCGCGACGGCAGTGTGCGCGGAACTAACAAACTTCGTGCAGTACACAAACACTAGACGGTCACGAATTACGTCAGTGTTTTCGCTAAGTCAGTATACAAAGCATAATAATTGCCAAAACATGCTTTTTATTTATACTCTATAAAGGAAAATTATAACATACATTTTAACTTCGCTAGAAATCGCATCAAACGCCGGATCAGTGTCAGTGAACTCTAAACGCAGCCCTCAGATGGACTGTTGTGATCGAATAACGTTATTTCCGTGCCAATCTCTCAAGATACAGGTTAACCTCTTATTTCTGACGTCAGTGTTCGGTCAACGTATGACTCGATCTTGTATTTCAGTGATTCATATACGCTGTGTGGGTTATGTTAGTTAACAGCAGAAAACAGACATCTTGTTTATTTATGCAGATACGTGTGTTTCTGTAGTGCATTTACTATCATTATTAAGTAAAATATATAAGTGTATATATTAAAAAAAATAAACTATTCAATTTTATAATTATTGCATAGGTAGTTTATATATTTTTTGCAAGAACATTAAGTACAGTCACAATGGATGAAGAAACAATGTGGAAAGGTTTTTATGATAAATTGCAGCAGCAAAAATCTGTGCAGGAGCAAGCACATGATACCAGGTACATGTCTGTTATTAGTAATTTAATTTAATTTATAACGCCTACTTCATGTATCAAATTTGTTTTATTTCTTGGAGGTATTTATTTTATTTTTTGGAGGCGGTTTAGTGTAAAAATGATTGAAGAATAATTAATTCTGTCGTCGAGTTATTTGCTTAAATACCGTTTTGGTATGTTAAGTGAAATATTTGTGGGTACTGTGACTAAATCTTCAAATCCCAAAATAAGGATCGGTAACATGGGAATGATGCGTCTGCTGTTGCAAGTAGGTTACGATTGTCGGTTACTTACCATAAGGCGGATCGTATGTTTATCACTCTTGTTGTACATGTACAATAATTACACAATAACCCAGTTAATATTATTATGCCAAATCTTCAGAAAGTTTTTTTTAATGGCTGATATGGAACGGTAACCCGGCCTATGCTATCGGTATAAGCTGGCGGAGTACCAATCAGGGATGATAGGTAACGATGAAACAGGTCAGATGGCCCATAGTGACGAATTAATAAATTAACCAAAATAATTTCTAGGAGGAATTGCGTGGATGTGAGTATATTAATAATAATGACACTGCTAGATCCCCTTTACTAACAATCCCTTTCCTCCTGATCTTGAGAAGTTATCCAATACTATAGATAGGGGGAGAAGGGATTGTTAGTAATAGGGATTAGTAGCCCCATTGCTAGCAATATACCCTGTCAGATCGACCTCCTCGTGGTTCCCCCTGGAAACCATCGTGATTGGTTTATTGTTAGATTCGTCATGGTGAGCTAACAGACCTGCCTTTTAATTCTCATTCTCATTATTCTTCACTGGTGCCCTGCCAGCGTATACCTACCGATAGCGCAGGCGAGGTTACCATTCCATTATTATCCATTAAAAAAAAAACAAAAATACTATAGATAATATAGATATACTAAATATTAAGTCACCATTTTTGTTGCTGTTTAGTTAAATATACCTGGTTATATTTTTAAGTATAGCTACCATAGAACAGAAAGGACACCTTTTGTTTTGAGATTGGTAATTATGTTCTTTAAGGCATCTACCTACCTATTTTTAGAAAGATATTGATATTTATCTGAAAGGTCATTACTAAAATTTTATATGTGCTAATGTGCTTACCTAATTTACGTATATTAACACACATTTTGGTACTTATTTATCTACCTATACCTAATGGGTAAGTACATACATACATATAGACAGGCATAATGAGTCTGAGAGATAAGATGAGAGTCTATAAAAATAAAGTGGGTATAATAATGTTCATACAAATCATAAAATAACTTTAGCAGAAATGCAAAGATTGAGACTGTACTTATTTCAACAGGTATTTTAATTGTTGTTCTAAGTATTTTACCTATTTCATCTAAATGACTACTACTAAATATAGTCTAAAAAAAGGTACATATGTATTGTTAGACATATCTTATTCATAGATGAAAGATTCACTCCTAATCCTGGGGTGAGCACCAGAAAATTCTGAGGCAAATCCCTTTTGAATACGCCTACGGAAACAACTAGGATAAAATCACTTGAAGCTTGATATCATTCAACTAATTAAATAATATTATAGATTATTTTTGTAATTTGTACTGCATTATATTTATATATAGTTCAGCATTCTACTACCGCAGTATAAATAATAATACTAACTTACTACTACACAATATTATACCATATCGTAATAATTAATTAATTTAACCCCATTTAATTATCTACCATAATAGCATCGTAGTCATGTCCTAGATATCTATGATTATAGTTATAACTAGCATTTATCTGCGACTTCGATCGCGTGAGCGTAATATGTTCATTTACCGAGACCGGAGTACCTCTCCATTTTATACAGTATTTGTATACTAAATTTCATAGCGAATAGTTAAACCCTTATGTCTCCAAGAGATAATAAATAAACTCACTTTCACATTTACATTATAAATAGGATTTTTATTTATTTGAAATTATTACAAAAGCAGTATCTACTCTTATAATACATGAATAAACAATAAACATAGGATCCGCAATTGTAATTCATCGCGCTTTATTTTAATCGATATAGGGGGTATTCCCTAACAGTAATACATTGCAAAAATTGTAGAGTGTTTGATTATATGAACACATTTTACATATTTAAAAATTATTTGTAACGTAGGTGCTGCCTCTGCTGAGCAATTTCAGAACTAAAATGATTATTATAAATGCTTTTAATTGTCACTAAATCGTTACGCCGTTTCTTAGAGAAAAGTATATTTAACCCCTTGTTCTTTGATTTGACCTATTTAGCGATTAGTAAGCAATTGTACTACGCAATATCGCATTTTGACAGCAATGGTTTATAAAGTGTTCTCGTGGTTTTTACAACCATAATGGTTTATTCTGAGGCGCCATTTCTCCAAATATATTTTTAAAATTATCAAGGAAGGGATTGTTAGTTAGCAGTAAACACTGTAAGGTCCACCTTCATGCGGTTTCCTCTAAAATCATTGTGGTGATTCTTGATGAAAGCTTACTCCGATAAAGCATTAAGCAAGTTACTCGCGTATACTGTAAAAACTACAACTTAATTGGGAACTTTCTTTTTTTAAAGTCAGTTTATAATTAAGCAAAACTAAAACAACGAAAAGTTTTTTGCTTGCAAAATTTCTTTTCGGTTGACTTAGTTAGCTGATACATAAAATTTATAAAAGAAAATAAAGCTCGTCAGTTGTCAGTGTTGCAAGTAATTCGATTAAAAATTCTGTTCGATGAGGTGATTTTTGTATTATATTTAGAAACATAATTTGTATTTCATTTGGGGAAATCCAATTTTTCTCCAGTAATATTAATAATATGCAAGATGGAAGCAGCTTCGGGAGGGATTCGCTCGGCAGTGGAGCAGCATAGGTTACGATAGGTTGATTAATATTATTAATAATAAGCACACCAAGCGCCTGGTCCTTAGGCTAGGATATCTTATGTATGAACTTACGTTATTAAGACGTGGAGTGTATATAACAGGTCACAATTTAGTTAAACGTCATTTTGACTGACTGTAGTAGTTGTATCAATTCGTTTACAATAAGAAAGGTGAAAGAACTAAACCATACAGTCTGACCTTCAAGACAAATATTTCTTTTAAAACAAAAATAATTCGCTTCATTTTTTCTGTGTTGCGAGTAATTTGATTAAAAAATTCCAATATCAGGTTAATTTTTTATTTGAACTGAAAACTGGTTTTTTTCTTTTATAATATAAAAATAATATATATTATATAACATATATTTATATAAATATATTTATACAATATAATATAAATTTGTACATATTGTCTATAAATTAATGTACACGTATTAATTAAAATGATGACTACTTTCTTTTGTTTTGGTAAAGAAAACACATTTCAGGTCTATTCTGAATGTTATTAATATAACTATATGATCTCTGTACATGGGAAATATTTTAGAAAAAATGATGTGGGGGGGGGGGTTTCAAAAAAGCAGCAGAAGCTAAAATAATAGTTTTTATAATTTTTATCTGTCTGCATGTGTTTTTTTTTTTAATTTAATGTGCAAAACAATGCGTATATCGTTGCGGAAATAATGAAGTTATATGCACTTAAATTTAATCATTTCTTATTTTCAAAAATTTTCATAATTTGTGTACTCTTATTAATTTGTTATTACTTGGAAGTATGGAATGTTTTCAACACATGATATGTAACATTTTGAGATGTCATATTTAGGCTATTATTATTTGACCGTTATCAATTTTAAAAAATAATAATTTTTTCTCATAAAAAAATTGTTACTTTTATAAATAAAGAGAATAAAGTTTTAAAAGAAAAAAAAATACGCATTTTTCCTTATTACTCTTTCGTTTCTAATTCACCTCATTTCCAATGGGATTTTAGAAAAAAATAGTCCTATTATTCGTTTTAAATATTCCTCAGATTAGATTCATTCGTAAGTATACATTTATTCTATACAATTTTTTTTATTTAAATATATACGTTTAGACCTTCATTAATATGTATGTGCCTTAGACATATTATACAGTGCCATCTAGGCTCAAATTAAGCAGAGTTTGTACTATGAGTACTAGACAATTAACAAATAGTGTACAGACCTATATTTCTTATATATATGTCAAGCCTCTACTCAGATCTCGATTAAAATAATCGGTGAAGACATTTTAATCGGCGCAGTTATTAATAATAATGTTTCTACTCCTTAAAATGAGGATAAATGTTTTTAAATGGTGGCAACCCGATTTCTGTTGTCAGTTGTCAATGTCAAATGTTAATGTCAAGTCAAGTGTCAGTTGTAGATAATAGGTACCTATATGTGTAATTTAGCGGAACGATTTTGTAATTTATTAAATTGTTAGATTGAATTGAACTTTGTTTACAATTGAGAGTAGTGACAATTGTATTTCTTTAGTTAAGTGTGTTCTTATCTGTGCTAGATAAGATAATTTAGTTTTATAAGAATGGGTTTATTACGATTTGGAGTAAAGAATTGTTTGCAATACAGGCAAATGCATTTGCTAAAGAATCAGGCTTACGTTAATGGACAGTGGGTGAAAGCTGGAAGCAATGTAGTTTTTTCAGTAAATAACCCAGCGGACGACTCTGTTATAACGGAAGTTCCTGATATGGACGCTAGTGACGCAAAAAATGCCATTCAGGCTGCGGCGAGTACTTTTGAGACTTGGAAGAATACGACAGCGAAAGAACGCTCTCAAATATTAAGGAGGTGGTTTAATTTATGTGAAAAGAATACGGACGAACTAGCGAAGATAATAACAGCTGAATCAGGCAAACCGTTAGCTGAGGCCAGAGGGGAAGTAGCTTATGGCAATTCATTTCTAGAGTGGTTTGCTGACACTGCCCGCCATATTAATGGAGAAATCGTTCCTAGTCCATGGCCCAATAAGCAGATTTTGCTCACAAGACAACCAGTTGGAGTTGTGTCTGTAATTACTCCATGGAACTTTCCTTTTGCAATGATAACACGGAAAGTTGGTGCTCTAATGGCAGCCGGGTGTACTTGTGTAATCAAGCCATCAGAAGACACTCCACTTTCGGCTCTTGCCGCTGCTGAACTAGCAGAACAAGCTGGTGTACCTACAGGAGTTATCAATGTCATTACAACTAGTCGAAAAAATGCTCCATCAGTTGGTAAAGTCATGTGTGAGGATGATGCTGTTAGGTGTATATCTTTTACGGGTTCTACACAAGTTGGTAAAACTTTATATGGACTTGCTGCAAATGGGGTGAAAAGAGTCGCATTAGAGTTAGGTGGCAATGCACCATTTATAGTTTTCCCCAGTGCAGACATTGAACATGCATTAGACCAGGCAATGTTAGCAAAATTCAGAAATAATGGCCAGGCATGCATTGGAGCTAACAGATTCTTGATACATGAGGATGTGTATGACAAGTTTGTTAAAGGATTTAAGAGTCGAATTGCCCAGAAATGTATCCTGGGCCCTGGCACCAAGGAGGGTGTGACATGTGGGCCACTCATTAACAATCAGCAAGCAAAGAAAGTGTCCAGTTTGGTTGATGATGCAATATCTAAAGGTGCAAAAGCATTGGTCGGAGGTAAATTTGCAACAGAACTTGGTAATAAATATTATGAATCAACATTGTTGATTAATGTGAAACAGAGCATGTCAATATTTACAGAAGAAGTATTTGGACCCGTGGCCACATGTCTAAAAATTAGTAGTGAAGATGAGGCACTTAAAATCGCAAACAGTACAAGAAGTGGCCTTGCTGCTTATGTTTTCACCAAGGATTTAGGTCAAGCATTCAGAATGTCTAACAAGTTGGAGTTTGGGATGGTTGCTATAAATGATGGAATAATATCGGCAGCTGAGCCAGCTTTTGGTGGGATTAAGGAGTCTGGTATTGGGAGAGAAGGCAGCAGACATGGTGCTGAAGAGTACACTGATTTAAAATACACTCTCATGTCTTGCCTAGACAAATGAACAGCTTCTCTGTATACACTTATTATTAATATATGAGGATATATTACATTGCATTTGTTGCCATATTATATTTTTAAGATAAGTTATATTTTTGTTATTAATTTTAAAACTATTTTAATTCTGTACTTGGTTTTGTGTATGAATCAATGTACAAATTTCATACAAGTTATATAATATTTATGAATTTGGTATAGTTATGTTGATGCTGGAGATTGTTACTGGTAGAATTTAGAATTAATCTTTATAAGTGATTACACTTATATTTTTGCAGGTTTTACTATTATAAATTTTAGAGCCTGACGCATTTCACCTGTTATATCTTAATATATTTATTGCAGTATAATTAATTTTACAATGGGATAAACCCAATTAATCTTAATCTTATTTATATTTTAATGTTATTATCTACTATAACAGCAAAATAAAACTTGTAGAGTATAAGTGTTCCCATTTATAAAGTCAATATAATTGCATATAACTTATTCTACCAAAGATTTCTTCTTTCTATATTTAGACAATATAAATGCATTATTATACAGGTGAACAGAAGGCACATAATGACCATTACATACTTATGGTCATTATGTACCATTATAATAACCAAAGATAGTTTTTCGAAAATTGAATAATTTTTCCAAAGTCTGTTTAATGAATACTATTGCTGAGTTTTGACTTGATGTATCCTTTACATTATATTTCAAGTGTAATATTGTTATATTCAATTCATTCCAGTCTTCCATTGTATTGTGATGTAGTTTTAAAGGAAAAATAACAGTAAAATTGAATAGGTAGATTTAGAAATTGCATTTTTTATTTAATATGATGTGTATAGTATCTGAAACCAAAAAATTGTTTAAACCTTATATACATAATCTGTATAATCACTATTATTACTATTTTAATTATATTAAAATATAAAAATTTTGTTGTATAATCACTTTTTTTTTTTTATTTAAATATTGCACACAATGTATATTTAGATAAAAGTGCCCTATTTATCTAAAAGTATTCTGCTATCATTCAATAGTGGATATTATAAATATATTTATTTAACCCCTGTAAGATAAACTTAGGTCATATTTACTTAATAGACACTATGTTATAAATGTAGGTAGTGTGTTTATTATAGCGTGTTAGATTTCACACAGTTTTGCCTGTGTGAGTCGGTACATAAAGTATTCTATAGGTTGAGCTAGAATATGTACCTATTCATGTATCAAATATCATTCAAATTTGTGTAGGCATTTAGTGTCATCGAGTTATAAATATCTTCATATTTATAATTTGGTTTTTGCATTGGGGCAAGGTGATTTTTTTTTTTAATGGGTGAAAATGGTATGGTAACCCCGCCTGCGCTAACGGGATACGCTGGCGGAGCACCAGTGAAGGGTGATAGATGAGAATGAAAACAGGCCAGTTAGCCCATCATGATGAATTCATCAGGAATTAACCATGATAGTTTCCAGGGAGAACCGCGAGGAGGTCGACCTGGTTGGGTATATTGCTAGCAATGGGATTCTGTCTCCATTACCAACAATCCCTTTCCCCCCGAGCAAGGTGATTATTAGTAATAGGCTCTAACTGCACCCTTGCTAGTAATATACCTTATCAGATCGACCTCCACGCGGTTCCCCCTGTAAATCATCGTAATTGATTTATAGAATTTGTCGCGATGGGCCAACTAACCTGCTTCATCATCATCTATCCATACGCACACCACATACACGCATATCACATATCCATAACGCAGACAGGGTAGCCATTCCATTTTCATTCAATAAAAAAATGGTATGGGGGAAACGTATGTTAGTAATGGAGTCTAACATAACATCTTAAATTATCTCAATAAAGGTACTCACTTAAATATTTTTATCGTATTTTTCTAATTAATTATATAAGACATACAAGCATGCACTCACGCTTCACCTGACGGACAATGATAGCTGTCAGCTATATATACACATAAAAAGCATTATGACCATATTATGATGACCATATTATGAGGAATGATAATTCCCATTATTTACAATCTTTTCTCCCTCTTCCCATTCCTCATGTTAGCAGTGAGTGTGTTGAGAAATATGGTGTTAGCTTTCGTATCAAAGACTAATTTGCTTTATACAAGAAGGTCTTTGGCGTGCTCTTCAAAGCATGATGCAAGTGACATTAAGTTGAAAGTGATCCAAATATTAAGAGATTCAGAGATATAGATTGGGATTTAATATGGGGATTTTTGGATTGCAGTTAAGGGTTGTCCAACTTAGTTTTTTTTTAATGGGTGATAATGAAATGGTAACCCCGCCTGCGCCATGGGCATACGGGCGGGGCACCAGTGAGGGATGACAGGTGAGGATGAAAAGGCAGGATAGTTAGCCTATCGTGACAAATTCCGCTAGAATTAATAACGACGGTTTCCAGGGAGAACCGCATGGAGGTCGACCTGATAGGGTGTATTGCTAGCAATGGGTTAATTAGACCCCATTATTAACAATCCCTTTCCCCACTGTCCAACTTAGTTGTGGATGCTCATAGATAAGTGAATAAGTAGAACAATGGTAAATGGAAAGGTAATTCTGCATGAGGGATGATGAAGTCAGGTCAGTCAGCACATCGTGACGAATTCATCAGGAGTTAACCACGATCGTTTTTAGGTGGAACCGTATAGAGATTGACCTGTTGTAATGACAGGTATAGCCAGGGCCGTAGTTAGACCCAAGTTTAAGGTAGGGCAAAAGTACGTTTCGGTAGGGCAGAAGCCATAATTAAGTGACTTCGAAAAAGCAACTCTAATTTTCTTGGGCCCTTTTATTTTAAGGTAGGGCATTGCCCTTCAATGCCCCCCTTCCTCGCCACGGCCATGGGCTCACCTCATTATTAGTCACTGTTTTAATAATTACCTGCCACCCTTCCCTCTTTAGAGTCCTGGTTAGATATTTTTGACGACCTCTGTAGTACAATATCAGGCGCCTTTTCTTTGCTTAAATTCTAGGTTTGATTTTTAGTTTTAGTTTGGGTGTTGTGGTTGGTGCTCTGGTCTTGCTAGTCTTTTATATTTATATAATATAATATTATCTCTCTACTTAATTTTTGTCAATAAATGTAGAGATTTATTTCATAAAAAATGTACTTTAATCTAAATCCTCTCGATTAAAAAATAAACAATTACGAAAATAGAAGCTAACTTGAAGTTTTTGTTTTTTGATGTTGGTTATAAGTAAACACTGATAATAGTAGTTTAATTTGGCATACATATTTAATTTTAATTACAGAATTCAAGAAGTGGATGACAGTTTCTTCGAGAAGTTTGGACAGATTCTTAGGCAAGCCTCGCAAAGGGCTGCTTTAGAAGAGGCAACGCCTTTAGCACCCTTCAAAGAATCTGAAGAACAAGACGGGGATCAGAATGTTGAAGATTCACAGATTGAGAGTCGCAGTCTCGCCGATAGTGGGCATGGGACACTCGTCGATGCCGATTCGGAGCCTGGTGATCTCGAAAAAATAGACTTATATGAAGAGGCAGTAGGGTGGAATGTAAGTATCTACACTTTTTTTTATTAAATATAATAAAAGTAACATTTAGTAGTTAGCTCATGATTTAATTAGAATATTAATGCTTATATCTTCGTGTGTGTATATGTGTGTGTGTATATATAGATCCAAGCCAAGTTATAATTTAGGTATACTGATATAGGATCAATTGTATTCAAGATCTATTTGCGTTTCAAGATGTTTTACCAGTGTGTTGTGGTTTCGTCAATGTACTTAATATTGGTATATTCTAACAATTTGGGTTATAGGTAATTATGGATAATGTAATACAGAAAACACTTTATATTGGTGTTGAAACAAATTTGTTTATAGAACATTAAAGTTCCCACCGCTTGGAAAACGGTGTGGGAGATAGACGCGTATTTTATCAAATCTAAACTCATCCGATATCATTTCATCCGTAGTATAGATACCTAAAATAATATTTAGTAGGTAGGTACCTAATATGCAATGTTATTATGTAAACTAAGATAAAAAGTAGGTAATCTTTATGTTTATTATTCACGTCGAAACGATTTTATAGAAGTTTTTTATATATACTTATATACATATATAAAACTTTTACTAACTTAGATATGCATAATCACGAGTATTTTATCTAATTGACTCTCATCAGTAGGTAAATTGCATATTTAAATTAATTTAGTAATAATTTTATTCAAATTTAAATAAATATAAATAGGTTAACATATTAATAACTATAAATTTAAACCTATGTATTATGTAATTGGTATTTAAATTATGTATCCAAATAATGTTTATCTGCTCAGATTGAAATTCATTCAATTAATACGTTTAAATTTTTTTATTATTATTGACCAAAATAATTATTACATAAATTATAGATTGAGATTAATTTGTACAAATCTCTTTTTGTTTCTATTGTATTGATTGCAAAACATTCATTTTAGTATACGATTCATCTTTCCGGATGAACTTCGCGTGGATAAAATAACACCCATGTGGGCGGATGAAGGGCTACAGTGATACCCATTTGCCGTTGTATTTTTAGTCAGATATAAACGAATAACTCGGTCAGGTTTATTGTTTTCCTGCAAACTGAACTAGACATTGACGTTATGTTGAGTTACTATTCTTGAGAAAGTGGGTCGTGGGTTATTGAGACGATCTGGCGACAATTCCCCGGGGACACTTTCACTGTAATAGTGCTCTATTTTATGGGCACCATTCCAAAGGAATGTCGTTGCACTATTGCCTGTCACCTTTTACTTTTTAATATATATTATTGATTTTTATATACAGAGTTCCTTAATTTATATACAGGTTATTTTTACTAGTTTACATAGATTGTCCTTAATAATAATAAATAAGACAATTGTAACGATTTCTTTGTCCAAAAGTTAGGACATTATTTGTAATCACTTTGTAATCACAGGTCAGGAAGATCAGTAAAGTTTCTGTACTTATCCTCGTGATGGGATTATTGTGCATGAGGAGAAATTGAATAAAGAACCTCTGGGATTGTAACCTCCATCATCATTTTTTTAACGTGTGGATAATCTTTAGAAAAAACCATCACATCTAGTAACTTACACCATCTAGCCAAATCAGAGCAGATTTAGAATAGTTCGTTCCTTAAATTGGCTCGAAGTGGAATAATATTTGAAATATAAATGTAATATTTAAACACGAAAGAAAGTAATTAAAAATGTTGCACATTACAGAAGATCGGAAACTGTTTATTATTATACTTATGTCTAATCTGTGCTATTGTGTTCTTGTGAATAAGTTATCAATTTCGTGAAAGAAGTGGTTTAAGGCAGGCAAAGACACCTTTCGGTTCATTTCGGTCGGCTTAAGAACACAGGGTTTCATTAGCTATCACCATTCCTACTTATAATTAGGCGAACTGTTTGCCATTTTAATCTTTATGCAAATGTGGGATAGTCCTTTGGATAGTTGTATCTTTTAAAATAGACATTTAGAACTGCATTGCATATAAGTCGTAAGATTTTAAAGTATAGTCCCTCGTATTTGGATACGTTACACATTTTAGTTGGTAAAGGATATTACAGGAAGAGAAAACGCTTGGGATTGTTTTGGTCCCTTAAAGATTATTATTCTGTATTCGTTGATTAATGCATGATTTCTAAATTACAGTTTGGAACCAAATGATATTTGTTTTGTAGTGGGTCGTCATTGTGGCATCTTGCCAGTGACTCTTTTCTTCTTCGAATATTTTGTCAACTTCGTAACCAAGGCTCATCTGAATGACCAACGTCATTAGAGAATGCGTCCACTTCCAATGTCGTTCCCCCGTATTTAAATATGGATTATAGTAGAGCTGCTATACGTACTCAAGGTTCGTCTATAATGCAAAGTCGAGTTCAAGGAACTAATTGACACATTGTTTTTAAGAACAGGGTGGGTCTATAAACATAATGAATTCGTATCCAATAAATCATCAATCAACTCTTGAATTATAAGTTACTACTGACGACTGCTATGTAGTATGAAATTATTTCAATTTAGTTATAATATGGTTGGGTGCCTTGAGTAAGTCATGCTCACCAAAATGTCCAGATAGATAGTTAAGCGCATTGATAGCTGGCTCATCCGTCATACTTGTAAACGGGTGCTGCCTGTAAGGGCTGGTCTGCTGTGATTACTGCAAATGTTTTATTTTAGTAATTAGTTTTAATTACATATTCTAGATTTTATGATATGGTACTGTAAATATAGTAATACAAACTACTTAAGTTTATATCCACACAAATTCGTTATTTTTATAAAATTAAACTTTTTGTATTACAACTTTTTGTAATATTTCTTTATACTAGGCAGTTCTTTCGTTTATACTAAGGCATGGGCTGTTTGATTTTAAGTAACACTATGATCTGGTAATCTTTAACGTGTTAATAGCATTACTCATAGGCATTTACGCACTTGAATGCAGAATCTGACGGAGCATAGTAGATCTGGAACAGCTTTACAAAATAATTTGTTTGGCTTTGGGTTTGTGTAATGGATTTGGCTTCTATAGCTCTTATTAAAGTCCTATGTATATTTGCTATGTACAAACATTATCTAGTTAATGTATCATTATATGTATAATATAAATATAGTATTCAACTTAAGATGGAAAGTGGAGAAAAAAAAACATTGGAAATGCTGAAAATGCTCTTCTTGTTGTATACGCACAAGAAATCTGAAAACTTGAATATTAGCAGTATTACATTTATATGTTTCAAAAAAACTTACATACCAATTTTTCCCATTAGTATAAAAAGGGCTTAAAAGAATTTCAGAATGAATTTTCGAAAATACTTTTTTATTTGCTCGTACCTATAGTGTGTAAAAAGAATTTACGGTATAAATTTGGCATTTATAATTTCTGTAGTTTCGCTTATTGATGATAAGATATTCAGTTTAGAATGATTTCTTTACAGCATATAGAGATATATTAGTATTATTGGGAACCTTGCTATGTATTAAATTTAATTAGTTAGGTGCTTCTATTATACTAGATACAACAAATTATGACAAGCTTTGTACATTAAATTATTATTAAGTAGGTAAATCCCGTTACAGAAGCAGTGTAAACATTGATGGTTAATGAAATAAATTAGTACATTTAGTGCGCTTTACGAGCGTTATCGTGTCGGGTTAGGAGCTTATGTGGTTGTGAACGTAAAGCATACAATAAACTTAGATGGAATAATTTTATTAATACATTATATATGTCGGAAATTCATTCATTGTGAAGAGTATTTTAAAAATATATAATGCATTTTTTAATGAAAGTTTCACTTAGGTAATGCACTTCGAACCCGTAATTGTTTAAGTATCAAGATCATAAAACTCTGTCTAATGTGTTGCTACATAGTTTTTGTATATGATTGAAGAGAAACATAAATCTAAATTCTCCATTAGCATAGGCATTATGAGCTATAATCATAAATACATATGTAGGCAGATACTCAATCACATTGCGTCAGTAAAGAAATATGATTTTACGATTCTTACAAGGATGTTTAAAAATACAAAACTAGACCTGATTATTTGGTATACATTAAATATATAATTCCTTAAAAGAATATGTTTTTACCACAAGTGGTTCCATTAGTGGATTGAAGAATTTTCTCAACGGAAGTGACTTCAGATAATTCAGGTGTTTTGTCACGAACATTGGGACAATACTTTTTTATTATTTGGTCGAGTTAGCATTCGTCTTCGTTGGCGGCGCCTTGCAAAAATAGAATTTGGCGTTCAGAGCGGTTGAAATCCAGAGTCCCGACTAGCCGACTCTGCGCAGTGCACCGGCTGCTCCCACCAGATACTGATTTCTGTATCGCTACTCGTTTATTCCCATATCACGTATCCTTTTTTTCAATTCTATACTAAATACTCTAGTTATGTAACTGGATCGAATTTGTGAAGTTTTCTATAAGTCAGTTCAGTGTTTAGTGTAATTTGTTATGTAGTGTAATTGTGGTGAAAATGAATGGTACGGCAACACTTCGCACCAAGTTCAGGGGCATTAAAAAGGAGTTCCTGGAGCGGCAGACCAGCCTCATTATCCAGTCTATGACTGTGTGTATATTTTTATATTATTCATAAATCATAATATGTATGCCTATGCTTATTACTTACTTGGTAAGACAATATATATCATCATCATCAACGATGATACATATTGTCATACATATATTATGTTAATTAGTATTCCTCAAAACTAATGTTAGTATTTTTAAATAGAATCTCAAAAAAAAATTTATAGTAAAGAAATTATTACCAAAAATAAAAAAAAATAATAATATTTTTGAAAAAAGAACAACCTGTAACTTTACCAACGGCACTACACAGTACAAGGTATATACATATTTATTATTATAAAGTGCCATTGGTATAGATACAGTAGTTCTTTTTCATGATTTTTTTTAGTTTTTGGTAGTATTCAATATGTATCTAGAAAAAAAAATGAGACCCTATTAATGAATATTAACACTTGTTTTAAGGAAAGCATTTCGTTAATTCATAGCGTATATACTGTGTATATACAGTTGAATTAACGTAGTATATATACGGCCTGATGTATGACTTAAAAGTTTAAAATAGAGATGCATAATTTAGAAACAGAATAAATTTACATCAATTTTAGTCTAATGTATGAACAATAGTACTTTGTACTGAAACAAAGAAATAGTATTTAATAATAGTAATCCCAGACAGTTTATCTCGTCTCTTTGTTATTTGTAATTGGTGCAAAGTCTTCATAGTATTATATTTTTATTGGGTCATATTAATATTGTAATATTCAGTGATTATATTACTACTTTGTATTTTAATAGTAAAAATCCAAAAGTACGTTTATGTGGATTTTTACGCAAGACACAATTGGTGAAAATGGAATGGTAATCCCGCCTGCGCTATCGGTATATACTGGCGGGGTAGCAATGAGCTGTGATAGGTGAGGATGAAAAGGCAGGTCAGTTAGCCATCGTGACGAATTCAACGATTAATTAGTCACGATAGTTTCCAGTAGGAACCGCGTGGAGGTCGACCACGTTTACCAGAGGGAGACTTTGTACAAAAGTCTCTTGCTTGGGTACCTCTGTCCCATTCGTGTTTCAACCGTGAAGCAGTTTTGTTTGCATGGCTGTGTTTCGGTTTGAAGGGTGGGATATGGCGTGAATTTACTGGGTACAGAGGAATAACACCTAAGTCCTCAGGAATGGCAACGCATGGGGGGTATCATGGGCGAAACATTATACTCTGTTATGTCCATTGTACTGCTCATGTCTAAAGGCGACGGTTACCACTTTCCATCAAGTGGGCCGTCAGCTTGTTTGCCATTCTAAGTTGTATAAAAAAAAAACCTAATAGGGTATATGGATAGCAATGAGGACTAACCTTCTCATTACTAACAATCCCTTTCCCTCAATATGAGGTGTTGGCCGTGTGGTTCCAGCGTAGAATAGGCCACCCATTTCTTTCCCGTGGGTGTCGTAAAAGACGACTAAGGGAGAGTGACGGACGGGCAGCAGCGTTCCTCTTAAAATATCTCTAAAGCCTAACTGCGGTTGCCAGTCCGCCTGTCAAGCGTAGCGTTTAATGGCAAAAGCCCCCTAGGGGGAGGCTTATGTTCAACAGTGGACAGTTAAGCGCTGATATGATGTTGTTGATAATGATGATGAATGAGAGGTGTAGCCTATATGTATGCATTCGCCAAGTAACCTTCATTTGACGTATATCTTCTTCAAATATAATTTTTTCTTTCGCTATAAAAATATTAAGTGTAACGAATCATCGTTGTAAAATTTTGCTCGAAATGTGGAAAAATCATTACCGAAACTTGTAATTTATTAAAATAACTAATCTGGGGAGATACTGTAGGTCGTAATGTTTAAAGATATTTCAATTTAATCTATTTGGCCGTTTATGCTGATAAAACATCTTACTTATAATGCAACAGGCTAACGTATAACATAACATAGGATATTTAAATGTGTTAGAGATTAGGAACAAGCTGCCATTCACTGATTTAGTGTCTATCGTAGCGGCTAATCGAAAACACCATCAGTTTTCTGATCAATAAGCTTCCCACGACGGCGCAGTAACCCTAACAATTTACAAATATTCGTCACAAGCCTGACGTTGCTTCGTTTTGTCAAGACAATTTAAATTGATCGTATAATCGCCATCGTTTGTTTTGGTGGTACCGTGGTTACGAACTACCCTAGTTTGTAGCGGTTCATTCAGTGGGAGCTCCGGGTGCAGTGTTTTGGGGTGGTTTAGTTATTTTATCGACAATTTTAGGTCGATGAAATTGCATTATTGCTATGATTCGTCGGTATGTACTTTATCGCAATAATAATTCAGTATTAACCATTAATGCACTATTAGTATGTAGTTAAATAATAATAAAAAAAGTCTTATACAGTAAATTTTTAAATTTATATATAAATATAATATAATATATATTAATATAAGTCGTACAGAATCGCCTGGTTATAAATAAAAATAACTGCGGAATGTTGTTATTTTAAGCGGGATCTCGCTTGTTAATTAAATTCGTATGACTGTTATTCGACTGTATCAATTTGATTTTTGCAAATTCATTTCAATTTGTAGTCTGGTTTATGAGTTCAAAACATGGTTGCATGAACTTGGGCATAAATAACATAATATGAGCATCTACTACAATTACTAAAATTCTTTAGGTATTGCGATTTGCTAAAATATAATATGAGATATACTCGTATATATAAAATAATAAATTTTAAAAGACGGACGCGTAGATATATGGAACCAAACCTTTTTAATTAACGCATATAATATTTTTTGTTTCAATTTGTGTATCAAAGGCAAAGATGCTAATTAATGTAATAAAAAATAAAATTATGAAAAAATTTTGTTTGCTAACAGTAGTAGCTAATGACTTAGATCGTTATAAGTTGAATTTAAAGGTTTAGTTGTTAAGTACTTTAGTTTACTTATTAAAAAATCCAACAGTTTACAATAGTCATATTTAGAAAGTAAATGTGTATTATTTTTATCAAATATAAACAGTTTATGTGTTTTTATTTATTTATATTTTTTATTTAATTTGAGTAGGCATAAATTCCTTAACTACCTAAAATAATGATAAAAAAAAGTATACCTAAAATCTTTTTTATAAATAATATACCTAATATTGTTAGGATGTAACATTTTGCAATACTAGTAGTAATAAGAGCGAAATTATAAATAAAATCGAAATTAATGAGGGGATTAACTTACACATAATTGGTACTATTGTGGTTTCATTATTAAAATTATGTTGGTTATATATTGTATTTTGCAATATGTATTTTTTTATTTCTGTTGAGGTTAATAATGTTTAAAAGCGGTCAGGGGTTCCCAATATTGAATCTTTACCTAAACTTCTGAATATTCAATTTAATGTTCAGATTAAAATGATCGTCATTTCTTTTACTTCGCGACAGGCGAAGGTAACATCCTCACACGAGGTGTAATATTACTATTTACCTTAAACTATTTCAATTTATTTCAGATTGATGAACTTTACTTGGAAGTTTTATATGAGATTCTGCACAATGTTGGTGGCTGCGATGCAGGGAGCGAAGTCGGCCAGGCGGCAATGCTCTCGTACGTGCAAGAAGCATTCAAAATTTCGAATGATAAACACACCCAACTGTTGACAACAGCCGAGGCTAAAGAACCTCCAGAGTTAATGTTAAATGTAGAAGTCGTTGAAGCCAAAGACCTGATGCCCAAAGATCCGAATGGAATGAGCGACCCATTCGTAACAATATACGTGATGTCTAATACAGCACATCGGTACAATACCTCTGTGAAGTCAATGACGCTAAATCCTGTTTGGGAAGAGCACTTTTCTCTGTAAGTATTTTATATGTATATATGTTTTACTCTAAGTATGTCAGTGGTAGAGTTTTTTGTGACTTATCAGGTTCGGATATCATCATCTATAGTTTATATTTTTTTCCTTAGAAGTAGACAGAAGTAGAAAACTAGGTGAATATAGGTAGTTCTCTCCCATTTAACCTTATTGTGCGATAGATGCAACTATATAGTTTCTAAACCAAAGTTAGTTTTTAAATTAAATGTTATGGCATGTTATAGAATGGGTATATCAAGTGAGTAAATCTTTTTCTTCTAGTACTCATTCTTTTTCAGTTTCCCTTCTCAATTTTATTACTGATTTTTACTCCGTTTATCAAGAGACGGGCCATATGCTTGTTTGCCACCATAATAGTATAAAAACAATCTTTCTTTTAGACATCAGTCTCTGATATCGGTTTTGCAGATCGAATTTTCTAGCTATAATTTTTTTATTTAGGTGGATGCTGGTTAGCCATCAACCTCTTTACTTCTACTACTTATAGAATGAAAAATATTCAATATTTTATTTAATTTACAATATCATAATAACATAGCTGAGATTTAAAGGAAAATGGTATAAATTTTGTAACTAATTCTTCGTATTTATTTAAGTTAAATAATATGTAAGTTAATTATGTCATTTTATTTGACTTGCGGTTGTAATTTACCTATTTAAAATGTTCATTGTTATAAATAAACAACATGTTTGACTCACTAATGCAATATTTTATATGTAAAATATTTTTATTTAAATGTTTTTTTTTTTTTTAATTTTAATACTATTTCTAGTATATGCTAATAACGAAGGTAACCTCATTCTACTGAGTTAATATTGCTTTTCAAATGGGTTCAATTTTATATGTTATAGTATATTACCTATCACTAATCAAAGTAGCAAATTACTAATAATAACTACTTACTTGAATTAAAAATTATTTTATATATACGATTTACTTAATGAAGTTCGTCCTTGCCCTTGGTGTAGATTTAGCAAGTTTGTTTTGGGAAGTTTGTATGTTTTGTTTTAATGTGGTATGTTAACAAGCCGGTTTATATTTACAGACCAATGCCAGGTAACCTGCACGAAGATTCGCTCTGTTTAGAAGTCTGGTGAGTGTTCAATTTTATTATTACATTCGTTTTATGGTTTTATTATTCGGTGGTTACTTGAGATTACACTGTTCTGAGATCCATATTACACACTGGCCAGTTTACCAGGCTTGGTATACATTTATTTAGAGATAGTTTTTTTTTATTTAATTTTTTAACAAAGGTACACAGTTTTTTCATTACAGTTATTGTTACACTGCTTAGCCGTTTAGAATACAAGTATTTTTTTAAATATTCATAGATTTTTTGTTATATATAACTAGACAAAGGGGATGAAAGATTAAGTTTTAAAATAATATTTTTTTCAGTTTTTACGTTAAAGATAAATACCTACCTAATTATTTATTTTTTTATGAAACTTATATAATAACCATTTTTTAGTTTTGTTTTAAACAGGTATAAGAATAATTGTCATTCAAGATTTGAATTAAACTGGTATTTTACTAAAAACTGAAGACGATGAAATGTAGTGACTCGTATTCTTCCTCTATTAAATTGTTTACTTACGATGATTTTTATATAATTGTTAAGTTAATGATGAGTTACTTTAGTCAAGTAATGATTTAATCAAATAATGGTAAATGTATAGCATAATTCAGGAAAATGGGTTATATTGAAGGTTTTGTTGTTATTATATTTCAGGGATTTTGATCCAGCGGAGACTGTAAAGGAGAAAATGACTAAATTGTTTGAGGTGAAGGGTGTGAAGGGACTTCGGAAGTTGATGAAGGAGATCGCCATCACAGCTTCAACTGGGAGACATGACAACGAACTCATTGGTACTGCTAATATTCCGCTCACGGTAAGTATCCTATACCAAACTTCAAAATTAAACGCATGATCTGACATTGAGACAGTATAAGCGTCTAACTAGATAGGCATCGGAAGTTAATTATTTTTAAATGTTCTGATATTGAATGATTTATTTTGGGCTCAGTTAATATACAGTATCTTAAAAATCAAGAAAACCACGCGAATTATGGAAATATTATAACAAAATTAATTCACTAAATAGTTTAGTGGCACATAAATACTTTATGTTATTTTTAATGAATGTAACTGCATGTCGCGTGGATTATAATCTCGGCTATAGATTACGTATATAATAAATTAAGTATAAAGCTAAATAAGGAATATTTTGTTTGATTTCTCTGAAGAACTATTATTTTGTGATGAAGTCGGTTAAAGAGATCTTCGTCTAATTTGTTTCTATACCTACTTTTGTTTACGAACATGTATTTTTAACAAATACAATTAGTATTATAATAGAGAAGCGTTTAATTGTAATATAGTATACAAAACCACAAATTTATCATTTTCCTCTCCGCTGTATTTTATATTAATTGTTCATAATTATTTTATATTTTTTACTCTATATTCACAAATAAAATAGGCACTTTTTTATTATTTTATTTTATATAACAGTAATTTAATAAATCTAGTAGTTTGTGATAATTGCTCTTAATTAGTTGTAATCCAAATAAGTTAATTAATTTTTTTTATATTGTTTGTAGTCTATCCCAGCGGGCGGTATGACGATGTGGTTCAATTTAAGCAAAAAGAACAAGCTGCGGAGGCAAGGTGTGGTGAAAGTCCGACTCTCCTTTTCCTCAGAGAAGAACTCACTGGTGGCCGCACAGGAGCACCGACATCTGCTCAGAATACTTCTATTGCATGAGCTTGAGAATTCTAAGGTTTGTCAAATTAATCATATGTCTTGGGCTGTATCAAAATGGTCTCTGTTACAATATACCGGGTCGTGTATTTTTTTAGCTCTCTTTAATATGGGTATCATATGTGAAAGTTTTAAAGATTAAAAAAATGGTTAGGATAGTGATATTACGGACAGAACAGATGAAGGTCGGATTACATTGCAAAAGCTTGTTTTAAAAAGTGTTCTGAAACAGGCTAGTGTAGATGCATGTTTAGTATATAAAATACATATTTATGTTTGCAGGTCGCTCCTTATTGGTGGTGTGGAAACTTCAGCGGTCCAGCTGAAGCGATCCTCATCCAGCACGTAGCGCAGAGCGGGCTCTCCCCCACTGACAAAGAGCTCGCGCAGTGGTCTGTTTACTGCGCGGTCACCGTCGACCACCCGTTAAGCTTCGCCCTCTTCAATAAATTGCTTGAAAAGATCGCCAAACCATTACAATCTGGTGAGTTTTTACGCGATGATGATGATGATTTTTTTACGCGATGGAAGTGGAATAGTATATTTTTTTTTATAAAACTTAGAATGGCGAACAAGTTGACGGCCCACCTGATGGAAAGTGGTAACCGTCGCCTATAAACATGAGCAGTACCATGGACATAACAGAGTATACTGTTTCGCCCATGATACCCCCCATGCGTTGTCATTCCTGAGGACTCAGGTGTTATTCCTCTGTACCTAGTAAATTCACGCCATATCCCTTTCAAACCGAAACACAGCCATGCAAACACAACTGCTTCACTGCTTGTGAATATGTGTGGAACAGTAATTGTGCTGTCTGTATACGTTGGGAGCGTACCAGTGAGGTATGATGGGTGAGGATCCAGTTAGATTGTGACGAATTCATCAAGAAATAACCATAGAAATGCTAGTAATTAAATATTGTGAGTTTAACTTGCTCAATTGTCGTTTTCTTTTGAAGGATAACATATGACTGGCTGGCTTTTGACCACAACAGAATACCAGTTATTTGTTATTTTGAGGGCAAAGCAATAAACTTCTTATAGAAATATAGGTTAAAAATTACAAAAACGTCCATTTGCAAGTTGCTACGAGATGATGAATATTTTTCTTATTTTTAGAAAAACATTTTAGAAAAAGCTTTCTTGAAAGATGCTGATTTCAATTTAGCTTTTATAATTTCAAGTCACAAAATTTGTTTAGGTGTTAATATTACTGTTTATTATTAAGCGAGCCTACTACTAGAACTAACCTGTTGAGATTTAGTCACGAAGTAAACTCCTATTTTTTCTGCCTTAAATGTAGGATAAACATAGAAAATTATTTAATTAGGTGACAATTATTGTTTAAATTTTTTTTATACACTGTTTGTTTTCAACAATAGCCATTTATAGGATTTTATAAACATGAAATTTAATTAGACATAATAAATTTTTTACAGGACTTGTTAAAGAAGAGGATGTAAAGCTATTTTGGGATGGTGCGAAGAAACTTCTACCGACATGTTATAGTTATATTAGAAAACTAAGGAAAAAGACGGCGGGTGATAAAACCGCAATGAAAACGCTAAGAGAAGTTCTTAATATTTTGTACACTCTTTCTACGTTAGATGTGCCAGATACGATAGATCTGTTTCCTAGCAATCTGTACGGTTGGTTACCTAATGACGGGAAGAAAAAGTCCATTCAAGAAGTATTAAACCAAGCTGTAATGCAAGGGGCTTCAGATTGGTTCGTCCATATAGTTGATAACAACGAATGCAAGGAGACAACAGAAGAATCTCGATTGCAACATTTAATTAGAGTTATACAATTAGTGCGCTCGGATTTACAACGAGCAATAGAATATTATGATAGAGTTTTTGTCGAGTAAGTAACTTTTTTCTCATAATTTTGTTGCATGACGCATTACTGTATTATTTTCTATATAAAATTGTTGATTACCCCGAGCAAGTAATAACAACGTGATTGAATTATGAAAAATCCATCCATTCTATATTAACTGAACATTTTTATTGTATTTCTTGTTTATGTAGATTATAAGTGATTTGTATTCATTGTTCTTATTATGTGTCATACGCCTGAGTGGATACCAAACACACATTTCATTTTTCCCTAATCTTTTATCCTAATGCACTAGTCATGGATTTTGTATCTATGTCTACTATTATGATGTTACTTTGTCTTATTGCTTGGCAATTCCCGTGTAGTCCCGGCGTGAAATAGGCCACCCCTTTCCAGTGGGTGTCGCAAAAGGCGACTAAGGAAGGGCGAGGGATGGGCAGCAGAATCCCTCATAAAACATTTCCTAAGCCTAACTGCGGTTGTCAATCCGCCTGCCAAGCGTGGCAACTACTAGCAAAATCCTCTTAGGGGAGGCTTATGTTCAGCAGTGGACAGTTAAAAGCTGATATAATAATGATGATTGCTTGGTAATACGTTTTACGATAGAGTAATTTCAGTGAATTAAAAAGCCTTTATGCCTGTTTATGCAGTTTTTTTCTTTCAATACTTTTGTTTCGTGTTTTACGGATTGTTCTAATTTGTTTTTGATAAAATATCAGTATTTTTTGTACACCTTTACGACGAAAATCAATTTAGTGCCCATCTAAAGTAATTTTTAGGTAAAGTTGCATCATTAATTTTTCATTTTAACTGTTTCAGAACGATGAATTTCCAATACTCCAAAGCTTTATATGGATTATACGAACAAAAGGTGGCTGCGTTAGTAGAGCCAGAGGCTAAAGAAGTTTGCAAAAGTCTTAAACGGTTGCAATACCATGAAGGTTCTACGAAATCTATACATTTGGCGGGGGGCATCAATGGGGAGTCAACGTTGGGAACACCTCAAGTCGAAAATGAGCCACTTGCAATGGGGACCACATTGTTTGAATTATATTTGACTCTTCAGAGATTTTTAACGTAAGTTTTAAATAGATCTAATAATAATAATATTAACATTTAGATAGAAATGTAGTATGTTTTTGTAGGTATATAATTAATATTGTTTTTAAATAAAATGACGTCTTTTTAAAATCAAGAATGGCAATGAGAAACATGGTGCTGTTCATGTATTTAGATATAGGATAAAATAGATATAGACAGAAAAGTGATACTATTTTGCATCAAGTTGGTTGCCACAGTCAGCTTATTATTTCTGACTTTGCACGGGTAGATAGATAGATAGATAAATTAGTTTTTTATATAAGTTTTAATAGACAAATTCGTGATATTTTGTGTTTCATTATTGTAATATTTAGAGAGATCTCTATTTTTTTGAAAATATTACATAGCCTATGTTACTGGCTGATAATGTAGCTTTCTAAAAATTTTTTTTTTTTACATCGTTCGTGTAGTTTTTGTGTAAATATTTATAACAAACAAACACAAAAATCAAAACTTTCCTTTTTATAATATTAGTATAGATTTGTATAGGATGTTGTATAAACATTTTACTGAGGGATGGCTAAAAAAAGTTTTTATTATTTTTGCAGGTTAGGCCAAGGTTTGAACGAAACTGATTGGAATTCGTACGCTATATCGAAGTTTCACTCGTGGTTCTTTGGTGGTGTAGCTCAATGGTTGGAGATCGCCGCATTCAAAGCTCTCACGCGTATAGAAAAAGCGGTGGAGTTAGATAACCTCGTGCCAGTGGACACCAATGTGAAATATAGCAGTTCTGGTGTAGACACATTGGCCATATTCTACCAGATCAAAATATTTTGGCAACAGTTAGCTTGGCCCGATGTTGAGGGCTGTTACACTTTTGTGGCAAAAATTATTGACGTTAGTATTTTTATTTTTATTTTGTATTCATGCTTCTAGTTTGTGTTTAGTATAAATTCAATAATATTTAGTAATATTATTACTGGAAATTCTTAAATGAAAAGAAATATTATTACTATAAGAGTCAAGAATTTACATTTTACCACATTTTTTTTTTACATGACTATTTTTTTTAATGTATGGTTTTAATATACACTCCGCGGGGGGAAAGGGATTGTTAGCAATAGAGTTTAATAGCCCCGTTGTTAGCAATATGCCCTATTAGGTCGACCTCTACGTGGTTCCCCCTGGAAACCATCATGAAAAATTCTTGTTGAATTCGTCACGATGGGCCAACTGATCTGCTTCATCCTCACTTATCATCCTTCACTGGTGCCCCGCCGGTGTATACCGATAGCGTGGGTGGGGTTACCATTCCATTATCACCCATTAAAAAAATATATACACTCCGCAAAAGGATTTTTCAATATTTACAATATCAATATCGGCGTAATATATATAAGAAGATAATTGTATATTTAGGGATATTCCATCCAAATCTATATTGAAATATATCTTAATATCAATATACATATATTGATGATTGTCTATCTCGCAGGACATCTGTCGGTGCTGCGTGTTCTACTCGGAGCGGATGGCAGCGCGGGTGGAGGCGGCGGGCGCGGGCGGCGAGGTGAGCTCGGTGTACGAGCGCCGCTTCGAGGTCACCACCGAGTGGTGCGTGGCCGTCAACAACATCGACTACGTGCGCCAGAGCCTGCCGCCGTTCGCCGCCGAGCTCGCCATCGACGACATTATTGAGAGCATGTGCGAGTCTAGGACACCGGCTGAAGCGCAGAGGTAACCATCCTTTTTTTGATGGACGATAATGGAGTGGTATCCCCGTTTGCTTTATCGGTATACGCTAGTAGGATGTCAGTAAGGGATGATAGCTGAGGATGAAACTGGCCTGTTGACCCATAGTGACGAATTCCATAATAACTAACCATGGTAGTTTCTAAGAGAATTACGTGGAGGTGGACCTGATAGTAAATATTATTAGACTAACAATGGAGCAGTAACTTTTTTATTGACACACTCGTAAATTAAATCGACAGTATGCGAAATAAGTATTAAATTGAAAAAATAGAAACGATACAAAATTCTTACGAAAGTATTAGATAGAACTATATAAAGAGAGCATAATTATTCATAATGATGCTTATTTTAACTGATTTATTTGATTTATCATATATCTGGTAATAAACTGTGAAAATATATGTACGTTTTCAAAAACATTTAAAGATACATCTTCTTATACCTATATACAGTAAATATATTAAATATTTATATTATGTAAAAGTAGTATATCTAGATAACAGCAGTACTCCTAAGTATATACATCACGCTGTCATAACCGTATTGCTATTTGTATATAAAATTCTACTATAAAAGAATATCTATTACTAAATTATTTTATTTCAGATGCAAAGACACGCTGCAAAATGTTATAAGCAATGCCATAGACACTGTTAAAAATAATATTGTAGATTTATTGGCAGTTATGGTAAAAAAGGTAAGCTCAGGGTGATTTTTATTTTATTTTATATGTATAAGCATAATCGGTTTTATTGTAATTCATCCAAGGATTCTATTAATTTTTCCATTTTTGCTTAAAATAGTAATAAAGTATTAAAATGATACTTTAATAATCTTCACCAGATGATGCCATCAGTAACTCGAATGCTACTGGAAGGCGCCGAGCTACTTCACCAGGACTGTTCGAGTATGGAGCGTGTGATGCGATATATCGATACTAATCTCAATACTTTGTATCAGCATTTAAACAATGAGAACTTCTCAAGAGTTCTGGACATAGTGTGGGAACAGCTTGCAGAAGTGCTATACGACCTTATACAGACCAATTTAGAGGTAAGTCGCACTTATTTGTCTGTATGTGTTAGTTTTGGAAATATTTCTTTAATATGCTAACCGCTGTAATATTGCATAGTTTTAATAAAACTAATTTGCCACTTCAATTTTATTATTAAAGTGGGATTCAGTGGAAAAATAAATGAAGAATATTAATACTGATTTCCTATAATAACGCTGGCGCTACTATTTCCTTTACAATTATGATTTACCTATTATTTGAGGTTATGACTAAGAGTACAAACGATTTAATTTAATTATTACAAATAATTTTGCTATTTCACTGAATCTTCTGACAACTAATTTTATATTAACTTTTTATTACTAATTACTAATTTTTCGTTTTGTAGAAAGAAAGTATCGCCACCCGTATCCGCTTGATTAGGCGTAGATATTTCGGCCAAAATAAAGTATTCCCCGACTCTCGCTCTGTGTTGTATCGGGTAACTAATATTGCATACGTAATGCACTCAGCACATGAATTTTTTTATACACGCGTGTACCCTTGCACGAATATTGTTTTGACATAATATTTTTTATAATTTCCATTGAAAGTATCTATCGTAACATGGACTATATATACTTCAGTATTCCGCGTCGTATATTAAATAAATTTGTGCCTCACAAACATTACGGTATTTTATACGTTAGTATTTTTTTAATACGCTTAAAATCTGTTAAACATAATTTATGGTTGCAATTATTATTTACATTATCAAGAATGATGCATATAAGTTACACATAAAAAACTTCGCAAAATTTAATTTTTTCGCGAAGTAAATTAAAAAAGAAATGTAATAGATTTTAAAAGATATAAATACTGTGAGAAGAATTACAGCAATATATTGTCATATATATATATATATATATATATATATATATATATATATATATATATATATATATATATATATATATATATATGATCGATATTTGCCTACTTTTGTGTCTCGGGTTGCTTTATGGTAGACCTTTTTTTGTCTACTAGATATGCAATTATTTTATATACTTAATTATTTATTTATTTGCTTTATAAAATATATTACATAGCTTTTACACACGACTTCGTCCGCGTTATAAAAAGTAGCCTATGTTTTTCTCTATTCCATATAGTATGGGTATATCAAATTTCATAGTGATTGGTTAAGCCGTTAAGGCGCTATAAGCTAACAAACAAGTCATTCAGATTTATAATATTAGTAAGGATGTTATACTAATTTAATCAGTTAATAATATTATTAATATCTAAAAAAATAATACATAATTAATAACCATACAATAGGTGATTTAGAATGTATTTTTAATTTTACAGTTTAGTTGTGTATTACAAGTTATTTGTATGTTTTCATAACGTGGAGTTTCTAGAATGTGGAATTTGCAACAATTTTTTTAGAATAACTACATACTGGATCACCTTGAGTGTTTTTTTTTTTTGCCAAATGTTAATAAACTGTTGTTGTTTGATAGAACCGAAGGTCAAAGTTAACCCTACATAAGAGCCAACAGCGCTTGAATCAAACGACAGCTGCCTTCTTAGACGTGGTAAACTGCAGCACTTAGCACATAGCTTATTGTGTTCAAGTTAAAATAACACAACAACAAAAAGGGTCGTTTTTTCCTCCATTTATTATTTAGACCTCATAGATTATTTACGTGTTGTAAGTGTAATACGGTAGTGTATACCTACGTTGAGAAAAAAAGTAAATACGTTACAAGCGGGTCGAATATAAAACCTTGATATGATGGTAATTAACACCACTAGGTTGAAGGGGGGTTGTTAGTACGCCCCTAGAACTTATTTTTTTTATTCTTATGGAATTCGCTGCGATGAGCTGACTGACCTGCTTTCACTTTCATCACTTATCTCTCACTGGTGCCCCGTCAGCGTATACCAATAGCGCGGCCGAAGTATCGTTCCATTTTCACTCATTAAACCACTAGGTAAACATTTGCATGCGCTTCAGCGCAAATGACAATCGCTATTAGGTTATATTATACCAATTATTTACATATTCTTACAGAAAAAAATATTTATTTAGTTAATTTTAATCAATCCATCCCTTTTCAAATATTTATGTAATTATGTTGTGAAATATCTAAGTATGTTGTCGTTGTGTTGGAAACATTTTTGTTATTTTCTGAGTGTAAAACTTATACCTTCTTAAAATTATTGCAAGAACCGCGTGAAATTTATTTATGTAGGTACGCCATAATGAATGCAGAGGAAACTCTTGTATTTACGGTGTAAACTCATTTATCTAATATCGTTATATGGTAAACACTCCGTATTGCATTTAACGTATGTGAAATATTGTACTACATACATCACAAAACAGTTAATATTGAACTCTATGTAAAGAAGGAAATATATAATAGAAAAAACGAAGTTTACTAGATATTAATCGATTTTTGACATATAGACTTGTTTTATTATTTTAAAACTCGAATAACTACTTGTAGATTCAACTTTATGCTTATCTATTATTGAATTTCTGATCAGTTATTTATTAAAGGTCAATGTGTACTTTTCGTGACAGGTGTCTATGGCAGGTGTCTATACCTTGTTTAAAACACAAGTAGTAATATAGACAATTAGGTTATTGTTTAGATAAAAATTATTCAGAATACAGATATTTTAATATTTACGAAAAAATCGCTTCTCTTAAGTTACCTCCAAAAACACATTTTGTCTCACCTCACTAGTCGAATTTTTATGTTTCTTTTTTTACAATCGATTATAAAAGGAAGGCAGGAAGAATGGACCTCTCTTATGTTGTTGGGTTACGTAGCCAATTATATTGAGTTGCTTAAAATAGCTTCCAAAATGTATGTGATGAATATTTTGTGTTCGTTATTGTCCATGTCTTATACCACAATTATGTTATTATTGATAATATTATAAAAATAGATTAAAGTTAATAGGAAAGTACAACAAGAAAATATATTTTAAATTATATAATTAAATTAAAATTACATAAAAATAAATTAATCTGAAGCATGTCGTAAATCGTATTACTTATATGTATTTAATTAGAGACGATATTTTATATCAATACATTTATTTAGGAATTTAGATATTTTAACTGTATTTTTTACGGGTACTTAGATATTTATATATTTTATTTATTTATACCTCTGACTAGCCCGTTAGGGATTGTTACCATATTTATAAATTTAAACAGATATCGTAACTGTATGTTCTTTGCTTTATAAAGCACTAAATTAGGCGCAGTAGAGTTTAATTCGGGGTTTTTCTATATAAAATTAAAGTTGAAATGAATGTTTGTAAAAAGTGATTTCAGTTGAGATGTTTAGATGTATTGTAGATACGCTACGACGACTTGTTTTGTAGATATCTAAATTGGAAATAGTGCGTGTTTTTTATTCCATAAGAAAAGACAGCTTTACTCGTTACAAAAATCAAATGCAACACACTAAATTCTATTGATTGCAAAAAAAAAAAAAACTGAAAATCAGTAGTGTATTACACGTGCGTTAGAAATGCAATCGTGTAATACAATTGCACAAAAAAATATGAGTATAGAATGCCTTATTCTTTTAAAAGTAACTAAAAATTTTTAGACAATTAGCAAAATTTTTGAATCAATCATCTCTTAATAAATATGATTTTGAAAGAGTTTTACTATGGGAAGTGGTTTTAAGTCTCGATTTATGTCTGTAGGGGTTATCGTTACAAGCATATATAGTTATTATTTCGTTTACATAATTAGTGAATGCATGAATCGAACAAAGCATGAATCTCTTAATATTAAAACGAATATAATTTTTTCTTATGTATATACAATATGTTATTATAATGTATTTATTTATACTAGTATTTAGGAACATGGGTATATGGTACCTATTTATTTAGTATTTATATATGTAATGTTTGCATGGTGGTGGATAATGGACGCAGAAAGAGGGAGATATGGTGTTTGAAACTGTTTAATTGGTATTAATCATAATAACTCATACTCAATAAGAATATTGGTACTTTACATACTTGTAAATGTCATGGTATTTAGATCATCATTGAAATAATATATTAACACATTACATAATATTTGTTTTTTATTGATAAAATTAGTAAGGTGCGAATATTAATTTTAATTCAAAAAATATTATTTATTTATTTACATTTTTACATTATATTGTACCATTTATAAAAATAGTAAATATAGTAAATTTTAATGAGAAGTTATACAAAAGGCGGCCTTATCGTTAAGCAGTCTCTTTCAGAGAACCTTTGGTAGGTGGCATATTATTATATAGATACTAGTATATCTAATGTAAAATAATTTATCCTGTTTCTACTTTAATAAAAAAATATCGTCATTAAAAAAAAGAAACATCGAAATTGGTTTACAATTGGCAAGGGTATACAAATCATACAGTCAAATTGAGAATTTTTCTCTTTTGTAGTTGGTTAAAAAGGGATATGTTCCCTTTTTAAGGGGGGAGACTCATGTAAATGCCTCGAAATCGGTCATTTTTTAATATTTTTTTTTACAGTGAAAAAATAATTTAATTGTTTAGAACTTTTAACACAACTTTATTAAACATTTTAAGACTACAAAAAAAGAATTTTTTTTTTTTTTTTTAATTCAAAATGGCGGCTCAGCATGATGTCTTGTAGGCTGCCTCTGACGCGAGGTCCGAAACTGCTTCATTTGTCACTCATCAACCATTGATCTGAAACACAAAAAAAAAAATTATTTTTTTTCAGGACATATAAACGGAAAGGATAAACCTATAAAATTAAAAAGAAAAGGATAAAATCCAATATAAAATCAGCCTTAAAAAAAAGTTACGATTTTGGGCTATTTTTTTGACCCTTTTGACCCCAAAAAAAATAAGTAATCAATCAGAAATACCTGAAGTTTTAGGTTTATCCTTCCGATAGTAATGTAGAGAAAAGCCTCACCAAATTTCAAACAAATCGGTCAATAATTTTTTGAGCTACAACACGAACAGTTTTTCAAAAAGTAGTTTCGAGATAATCGCGTTTAAAGTTTCAGTACAGGAAAATGAGTAGTTTTACTGAATTATTAATTACTTACCGACTAATTTGCAATTCCAGGTCCATATAACAGTCCTTCTTCCTCCTCAAAAAGTTGATTTTCATCTATTTGATGTTGTCTGCGAGCTGAACGAGCATCTTTGGTCTCTGAAAGGCTTTTACGATTCTGTCGGGTTATTCGCTCCTCGTCTGTACTATCCGCAAATATCTTAGCATAAGTGCCAATATTCAGATTCAAAAGGTTCATTATTCTTAATACGGAAGTATAACCTTCATTAAATATCCCTGCAGCAATGTAAGCTGAAATTTCGACTACTTTTAGTCCGGAATGCAGGTGTTTTGGGGATAATCGCCAAACTGTAGCGTTAAAACTTTCGTTCGCGTTCTGCGTATGACCACCAAGGCATCGCTCAAGTAAATCATCTTTGGACAAATCTTGATATATTGGTAAAAGATGCTGTTTTAAATCTTCACCAAGTAATGGAGCTAAATTTTCCTTTCGAGGATCTCGATTTTGAGCAATAGCCTTCTGCCATTTGCACCAGCTATCAACGCCTACAGGGCAGTTATCATGTTGGGGATTTTCTGTAGTGGAAAAAATATGATCATAAGTAGCCATTATGGCTTTTTTCATATTTTCAACACTGTTAACATTTCTCTGAATACTTAAACCATAATATTTTGTTAATTTTTTTACCACTTTATCAGTTAGTTTTCCTCTCCCCGAAAGTTTCTTTTCTTTTCTTACATTTCTAAGTCGAGAACCCATTCTTTTTTCTACATGACCAATACATTCACTCTTCACTACTGGTAACTCATTACCGTAAGGTTCTAAATCTAGAATAGCCTTGAATGTCTTAGAATCTCCGTCACCAATGTAGTTACCATATTTTACTCCGAATTTTTCTTCTGAAGTCGAGAACATTTCTTTCATGGCATCGACTTCCATCTTTCCTGACGAACCTTCGTGATTTTTTTGACACTCATCCTCGTGATATTCAATCCACTTACGGAATTCTTCTGTATGAGTCTTGTTCTTCCAGTAAATACAGCCTTGACAGTAACTACTTTTTGTTTTCAAATCAATAACTTTCCCTGAATAATATCCTATGAGCGTTGCAACACCGTAATTTGATTTGAAACCACGTTTTTTCCAAGTACCATCTCCAGATACTTTTAAAATATTTTTTTCTCTTCCTTGCTCGACATTTTTTTCCATCTCTTCTTTCACTGCCTTCTGCGATAGAAATTCAAATGATAATTTCACTGTATTATAAATGTGTTCCACAATGTTAGCGTAACAACTTTTACTCAAACCAGTGCATAGGTCCATCAGGTTACAAAATAAATTTATCCCTTCTCTTCCAACACCCAAAAGTCTCATGATAAACACTATTCTCCGGTTTATTTCAAATCCGTTGTTAATGAAAGGACCTGAATTTATTGTTTTATTACCACATGGACATGTGACAACAATTTTAAAACCAAGACCTCTGGAACTACACTCATTGAATTTTATCTTCTGATTACACACCGAGCACTTCACAATTTCAGACAAAGCTGTAAACACTGTAAAAAATTCAATTATCCTGTACCCGTGTAAAGGATTTGTTATTATATCTTCACTATCACGGGCATGGAGTTTTTTGCCACTGGCACTGTGATCATGGCTTACACTGGCTTCGAATTTTTCACCTTCATTATTAGTGAATTGATTGCCCTGAAACTTTCGTTTCCGGGTGTTATTTCTTGCAATATTCCCACGTGTACCTTTTTTATAATTCGGCATTTTTGCTTTTCAAAATCGACTGAACACGAAGAAATCTCCAGCTAAACTAAATATATTTCTCGACTAACGATTATTCGTGTACTAATGTTACACGTGTGCAGAAATGTAAAAGTATATATATATATATTTACTAAAAAGGATTCTCGATAGTTGAACAAAAGAAATATTTCCAGGTATTATAATAGAAGGGTCCTTTTCAAGCGCCCCGACTACCTGGCTCGTTACTTGACAATACGTACTTCGGCCCGCTCCACTGTATTAGCTATAACTTTGTAAATATTCGAGATTTTTTTTTTCCGGCTCGTCAGTACACGCTCAACATAGTATACTTTCAGAATATCGAAAAAAAAAAAATCGATTTTTTGAAAATTTTACATGAGTCTCCCCCCTTAAGTATTTAATAAAGTACACATAATGTTATTAACGGATTTTATCTGTAAGATTATTCAGGTACCCATACTTCATATACACATTACATTTTTATTTCCCTTTAGTTATACGTGTAAATGTTACTTATAATGTATAATGGTCGATACTTTACTACAACTTTTTATCGAGCATAAGTTGTGATTTGTAAATATTATGATATTTAAAGTTATTTACATATTGACGTATCTATTTATAGAGTCAATATCGCTACAGCTGTAAGTGGAGAACTTTTCTGAATATATTTAGTATTTACTCATATAAATATATAAATTAATATAATATAAAACCACAATATCTTAGGGCACTATAAATACCTACACAATGAGTACTTATATATGTAGATATAATAATAAATGGTGCTTGTGATTGTGATATACTAATGAATTTTCAAATATATCTTTCTCTTTCTGTCTTGGTGAAGGACGATGCATAATTGTTCGCTCAACATACTGTACCAACGTTGTAAAAAGCTGCTTATATGTCCGTTATTATAAGACATGTTTAAATTAATTCTGAATACTAACTTGCAGAAACGTCGACCGCCGGCTTTCTTTTCGAATCTTCACGAATGTTTAAAAATTATGATACAATCCTTCCGTCCAAATAATAATAAAGAAGCATACACATCCGATACATTGAAAAGAGTAGAATATTTGCTGAAAATTCACGGTATGGAAACGAGAGAATTAATACACCAGTACCATTTGGAGAGGTGGCAGGAGCAACAAGCGGTTGTGGAGCCCAAGAATGGTCTGCTCACTGTACGCGCACAGTTTACAGAGAACAATTTGAAGATTGAGATTATGAATGCTAGGAATTTGACGCCCACAGATTCTAATGGTTGGTTTCTTTAAATTATTTATATTACTGTTGTAGTATATATTATACTGAATTAAATAATCCGCTTTTTTTAATAATTATTAGATTTTTAAAATAACTATCTATTATTCTATTCTGTATTCTATTTTTGGCAGTAACCAAGTTTGTAATCATCAACAATTTCTCTGGTTTTTGCAACTTCTCATTTCATTTTTACCAAAATATGTCACGCCCACTTATCCCTAATTATTTTAGAACGAGTATTGTTAGCGAATACTGTAATATAATATTCTTGACTTGACCAGCTAATTCATGTTATTTTTCAAGTACCTCAAATATAATTTTAACATTCGTGACAATGTGATTGGGGAATTTATAATCAGATAATTTGTCTATGATTGACTTAAATAGAGACATTATTAATAGTTGCGATTGGTCTATTCAATCTTTAGATATAATTATTATCAATATGTTTGTTTATTATCAATAATTATATGCTTCAGAAGATGGGACTAGGAAAAGCTTATGTGCATATAATCTCTGTTAAATATATAATAAAACTTTTGGTCACTATACAGGCCTCTGCGATTCGTACGTGAAGATAAACTTGCTACCGGAGGACACGTTTGCGAACGTCGCCAGCCCGAAGACGCAGACTCACAATAAGAATCTCTTCCCACTTTACGACGAGATGTTCCAATTGTGAGTAAAGTTTATTAGTTAAGTAGAAACAAGTATATCTGTGATTATAATACAGTAGATGCTTCCATCAGGTGCAAAATATTTGCTCCGTAAAAACAACGATTTTACTCGTAATAAGATTGTAATAGCAAAAAGAATAAAAGGTAATGGTAAATTGAGAATTTACTGTTTGAAATCCTTTTTCTTAAAAAATGTTAACTCTGGTATACTCCTTCCATGGCATAACTAGAACCGCACTTAATTAGCTAAAAGATGCAGATTTCAGTCCTGTCGGCTTAGAATATTAAGTAGAAGAGAAAATAATTGTATCTTTTGGGCATGAACTGAGATACTTCTTTCTTTCTAAGGATAAAATCATCTTATTACGAGGCGCTAATAATTATCTTAGGGCGGTTTACACATACAGTATTTATATTTGTAGGTATGTATTGTGTTTATTTCATCATTTCATGTAAAAAAAATGTTAATTATTTATATTGACTTCTTATTGCCGTATAGTCCCGGCATAGAATGGGCCATCCCTTCTCTTCCCGTAGGTTGTAAGTGGCGACTAAGGGAACATAATGGTGGAGGGATAGGCAGCAGCGTCCCTCTTTAAATATCACCAAAACTTAACTGAGGTTGCCAATCCGCCTGCTTACATGGCAACTACTAGCAAAACCCTCCCTTATGGTGCAGGCATATATTCAGCAGGCGTCAATTAACAACTGATACTTTAATGATGATTATTTGCGTAATGTGTACACAAGATATTTTTGTAATAACAAAAATTTTCTGCAGACCATTAACTTCCGAGCAGCGCAATACTCGGGACGGATTGATCCACATGGTGATCAAAGACAAGGACATGTTCAGTATGAATAACACGTTTGTGGGCGAGGCGTACCTCCACTTTAGCGAGGTGCCTGACACGCCGGCCCCCATCAGTAGTCTACCGCAGCAACATCTCACTCTCATCAGGCCCACTAATATTGGTAAGTTATTTTTATACATATATGGCTGTAAGACCTCTCTCCTTCATTACGCCCGCTAATATTGGTAAGTTATTTTTATACATATACCGCTGCAATACCTCTCTCCCTCATTGGAGCCGCTAATACGAGTATTAGTAAGTTGTTTTTATACAGATACCGCTGTAAGATCTGTTTTTCTCATTGCGCCCGCTAATATTGGTCAGTTGTTTTTAAGCACCTACCACCACAGCAATACCTCTCTCATCACCAATGTTATTCTGTAAAATTTTGCAACTCACCTCTGTTTCATTTCACCTAAACTAAATAAGGTGCTTATTCTGTAAACCTTTTAAAGAGAAGATGAAAAATTGAAAATAAAAGTATACTTTTATAGCTTTGTACTCGTATTATTTTTTACTGCTAAACCTGCTAACTTATTAGCAGGTTTAGCAGTAAAAAATTGCGTATAAAATACTAAATTTGTAGTTCTTAATAATTTTTTTTGTTATTTCTATCTATCCATTATATTTATACTTCAATAACGTTATTATTGCAGACGGTGATGCCATCAAAGCACTGGAGTCACGACAAGGTGATAAGCAAGCGAGAGAGTTTCTCAAGAAACAAAAACAAAAGTTACCCAGCAAACAATTCTTTTCACTCGGTTGAGTTCTTCCTCAATATAAATAAAAGCCCAAAATATATTCGTTTATGTAGGATTAACAGCAAAAGTATAATGTCTTATGATATGGATGTAGTAAATGCATTGTTGCTGAGTTTGTGTATTTGTGTATTGTGGAATTATTCCTATTTTTTAAGTAGATCTCATAGACTTCTTAAATTAAAAAATTCTGAAAATTGGCTTCAAAATTCTTTTTTAAACATATTTTGTATCTTAAGGACGAGTATTAAATCGATCATTGTCCATTAGAGGTCAGCCCCTTACTTATACTGTACAATTTTTTTTGTATAAATTTAACTTTCAATGTCAAATTAGTTATTAATTACCTAGTAGTGACATTTTTAAACCTAAAAATATGATCATTACATTTTAGTAAGGGGTACATGTTATAATTTGCCTATTTGCATAATTATATAGAAAATCCACTAATAACTATTCATATAATAGTACATAATATTTAATGCCAAATCTGTATTTTAGGCCGGGCTACTACGCTTGTTATTTATTCATAATACCAGTAATTAAGTGGTCAAAGTTGAAAAAAATACGAAGTGACTATTTAGATGTTATCTTTAAAATATTACTTAACTATTCCTATTATGTTACATAATATATATTATAAGTAAGTACATATATTGAACAGTGTCATGATGAATTGTGGAGGTTTAATAAATTATGCTGGACGAAAAATGTGTCGATTAAAAATCATTAATTATTATAATGAAATATCTACATACATAGTGAAAGATATCTTTTTAAAGAATAAAGATATTTACTTCGATCCTATACTTATGCGGTAGTTTTGTAATTGGGTAACCGCGTTTATTTGAAAAATTCTTCAAGAAAACTCCACTATAATTGCAAAAATGTGCGTCGTATTAGAAACTGGAGGTAAATGTCACCTCTGGTTCCTAATAAGGAAGCACATACAATGTTTACAGTAGGCTGATAATAGCTGAGGCTACCATTTACTCTACTTGTATGAATGGAGTTAGGAAGAGAGAAATTTTGTGTAGTAAAGTATAATGTAAATGTATGATGTAACTATATAAAAAATGTAAAGCAATATTATAGCAACATAACTAATATAATGCCTTTAGATTAAAAGATGGCGACAGTACTGAAAGAGGATCGGGTAATTTATGTACTATAGCTACGTACATAATTATACCTGCGAATACTCTCATAGTCGCTGTCTATTTTGGGTAGCAATAATGTGTTTTTCTGTTCCGAATTTCTAATTCGAAATTAAATGTAATTTAAAATTACTTGTTTTCACATTAGTTGTAGCAGAAATTGTGGCTCTAAAAAGTACTTGTTTCGTTTTAGTAATTCGGGTCAAAATTATGCGTATTTTTATATGAATGCATAAATTATAATGTAGTATATTTTTTACTATTTAGTAGTTGCTATGTACTGTGATAGAGTCGTGCCTTTTACTATTTATTATTATAGGTATGTACATAATTTTCCATTTTGCATGTGTGAAATATATTTTAGTAAGTAGGTACTGAATCACTGATATATAATTTATTGTATACGGTATAAAAGTCGACCTCTGACTGCCCCGTTAGGGATTATAGTTGTGAGAATGTTTATTTTATTTTTTTATTGTAAATAAAATCATCAAAATTATTTCGTCTTTTAATATAACTTACTGAAGACAACTCGAGCATTATAGAATATTTTAATGAGCTTTATCAAACAAGCTGACTGCCTGCTTGAGGGAAAGTGGTAACCGTCATCTGTAGATATGAACAGCATCATGGACATTACAAAAAATATCGATGCCCATGATACCGTTTATGCGTTGCTTATGTTACGCCGTGTGGTCCCGGCATAGAAACCCACAGTAAAGGAAAGGGGTGACCCATCCCCTTTCCTTTACTGTGGGTGTCGTAAGAGGCGATTGAGAGAAGGTCTGTGTTCAACAGTGGAGAGTTAACGGTTGATATAATAAGGGATTATTAGTAATGCGAACTACTAGTCCCGTTGCTAGCAATAAGGGTAAATTTCTCATCTAGTCAGATCGGTTTCCATGTGGTCATGCCTAGAAACCATCGTGCTGAATTTCAGGTGTATTCATCACAATGGGCTAACTGGCCTGCTTTATTTTTATCTATCATCTCTCACTGGTGCCCCTCCAGCATATATCGTATAGCGCAGGTGGGTATACAATTTTATTATCATCCAATTAAAAAAAATTTCGCCACTGAAGTCATCTGAATGTGTCATCATGTTTGCTTTAACTTTGTAACACGCTTTGTTACCAACAATATATTGCCTCTGGTGAATTTGTCATGGTGAACTAATTAACTGTTTGCCTATGAGGGTTGATTGATTGTTTACGAGGGGTGGAATGTGTGAGGGAGATATTGAAAGGAGAGTGAAAGCGGAAAACGATGTTAACGGTGCATTGCTCTCAATTATAGCAAGTAAAAATGTATCTAACAAAGCTCGCAATACACGGAGTATTGGTACCACATATATGAATATGAAATGGAAACATGAGTATAGCAGAATAAGCATGATATTAGGATAAATTTTGTAGAGATGAGAACTTTGAGAAGTATGTATGTATTGCATTAAAAGATAGAGTAAGAAGTAATGTGATTGGAGAAGTGTGAACGGAAAGATGATGTAGAGACAAAATCTAAAATGGAATGTTGCGTTGGTTTGGCCATTTAGAGAAAAAATGGACATGTCGATAGGGATTGTTCTACTAGACGGACGTATCTCGACCAAATAGGGGACGTACTGAGGAAGGACTAAATTGAAAGTACCCATAACCCGCGAGCGTGTATGAAAAGATCGATGAATGTGGTGAAAGCGAAAGAGATCTAATTCAATTAAAGCAATTGGCGCTTCATTGTTTCTGCCTCCCCAAATATTAGACAGGTGTGACAGATGTGTATGTATGTATATGAGCTAAATGACTTTATCCTCATTTATTATCCATTGGTAACTCCCTGCGTATATTGATAGCATAGGCTCAGTTACGATTTTTATCCGATAAAAAACCAACATGTTAACTGAAATTGCAACTCGTTGATGTTTATAAATAAAAGTTTACCATGAATAAACGGACCTACTTTACCGATTCTGTTGCTGTTTGTGAGTTTATGGCAAATTAATTATATGAGACGCGAGCAACGGACGAGTATGAGCGCTCAAAGGTACAATGTTATTGCTTCATGCATATAAAGTAATAAATGCTACATTATCTGCCCGGAATACTACTTCGCCCGGATCCATTGCTGAACACGATTCGGCAATGAATATAGAGATTTATATTGGACTAGTATTAGGTAATTTTTACTCATTTTCATAGAAGTGATTTTTCTCATTTTGATAGATATTATGTAATCATATCGTGCCTAAAATAATAACAAATAAATTAAAGAAAATCAATGTAGAGAGTTTGAAGCGTGTTTCCAAGATCCTGGCGGCATTACTTCAGATTCGATTTCTTTTGTGTGATTATGTAACGCTATATTAAAGGTGTGTATATAGTAGTTACTATATAAGGGAGGTGTTAAGAGTCGCATATAAAACATTTTTATATAGAAAATTTTTAAAGGCTTCAGTCTCTTAATGCTTACAGTCTACTGAGATTTGACCAAAAATGAAAGGTTATTTTTAGGAAATTTATATACTAACTTGTTACAATTATGAGAAATAATAGGATAATGTATCATCATCATCATCATCATACCAGCTGTTAACTGTTCACTGGTGAACATAAGCCTCTCCCATAAGGAGAGGATTGCCGGTAGTTCTATTTACCAGGCAATATCGTGTATCGTCAGTATTTTTAAAATATTCCATTGTTATTTCATTATCATCCATATATTCCATTGTTATTTAAACTTTTTATAATAAAACTAGCTTTTACTCGCGACTTCATCCGTGTGACCGGGATATGTTTACTGACCGGGATAAAAAGTAACCTATATACTTTAAGGATTATAAAAGAGCAAATACCTCTACAGGATCATATAAAAAAGACTAATCCTGATTGATATGGGGGGGGGGGGAAGGGATTATTAGTAATGGAGACTGAGAATCCCATTGCTAGCAATATACCCAACCAAGTCGACCTCCTCGCGGTTCTCCCTGGAAACTATCATGGTTAATTCCTGATGAATTTATCATGATGGGCTAACTGACCTGTTTTCATTCTCATCTATCACCCTTCACTGGTGCTCCGCCAGCGTCCAGCGTATCCCGTTGGCCCAGGCGGGGTTACCATACCATTTTCACCCATAAAAAAAAAACCTGATTGATATATTGAAGCACTGTTCTAAATATTTAAGTTGCACTTGAAAACTTTACATTTTAAACACAGGTAGATACCTACGAGTACTTTTGTTTCTTAATAAAGTATTACTTAAAACAAAATTTTCAAAATTTCAAGAACAGTGAACGAAAAATGACGGGTTCAACGCAGTCACCATTAAGGTAATCGGCTAGTGTTTCATAAAGTTTCAAAATTAATCCAGAACATTTTAAATAATATTTGGTCAAATATTCTGAAGACACTGGTATGCTATATTACGGGTTTCTAGCACGCATCGAAAACCGAACCTGACCTTCGTCATTTCATCTGTCGTAAGCGTGTTATTCAATATAATCCAATTAATTAAAATGTCACATCAGAGAGGGTCTGTCGGTGCCGGCCTCTGTGGTGGTGGAAACGCATCATCAAATGAAACATCTCGCCGGACGGCGGCGTCTTTCATGTTTCTCCCCACGCTTTGATCGCACCGCGCCGACAATCCGCCCGACTACTTATCGGTTCAGATTTATTGTGATTCAGAGGCTGTGGGTCGCGGGGAGTCGCGCGCTACTCCACTCGCCCATTCGTACATCTCTTTACGATGCTTATTCATGCGCAGACTGACATAAGCAAAAGTGTTTCTCAGAAACGGGGAGTGTAGGTTTTTATAAGAAAGTTCATCATGGTGTATTTCCCCGGTAAATTTAGCGTAAATTAGGTATCCAAATTAATATTATTATTAATCAAAATATACGTAATAATAACAATTCGCTACAACGAAAAAATCTAAAAAAACATGCATTAATTGACGAGTGTCGGTAGTGTGTCAATGATGGAGAATCGATACAATGGAACGATTATTAATTTCAACCCGATTAAAATTCCAATTGACTCTCCAAACAAATTTGTAATTTATTTTTATTAATACTAAAATACAATCTATTAAATCTCGTGTCCTTATGCTCTACCGCTTTGTAGTTGATGTCAATAAATCAGAACAGGATGTGATTCAATGCCTTTCATATTTTCTAATAAGCACAGAGAACCCAGTGTGAATAGCATCTGTATATTTGTATACTTACATCTCTCGTGTCATCCATTTTTTTCAAATATTTCTCCGTTTTATGCATATGCACGTTGATTAGAAGATTTTTTACTTCTACCACAAGTAAAGGCACCATCATAAGATAGGTACAATTTAGACTAACGTTCAATAAAGTTCTGATAAAAACTATCGTTTTTATTCCAGGTAAGTTTAGTATACAATTTTATTTTTATACGAATTCGTATAACTTTTTTTTTTATTATTTCTTTCTACCTAAAAATTGGGATTAGTATCAAAATTGTAACTCAAAGTTTATACGACACTCGTATTGTCTTATCGATTGTACGTCACCGAGAATGACCACACATTTTTTGCTTCCATCAGTGCGGACCCCGGTAGCAACTCGAAAGATTCAGTAAAAAGCAAACTATTATTTTTTTAGTCGTCGATCCAAGATGACTAGCAATTTATTAGCTGTTTACCACTGTTCGATAATTGCTTGTAATAATTTTAAATACGTACTATTAATTTCTTTTTCAGTATTGGTCTAGTAGCAAGTAAATAAATACAACTGAAGTGAATTAAATTTCTAGCCATGTAAAAAATCTATAGAAAAATCACTATATTTTTTATATATACATATTCTTTGCGAAACAGGCAGAGAGAATGAGTGACAATGGTCTGTATCAGCCTGCGGGTAAATTATCATTATTAATTTAATTCCCTGTTTCATCTTTGTTTGGCTGACCTATTGATACAAACCAACAGATCTAAAAGAAGTCTTTTATAGGTCGTGTAAATTTAGTATAATCAGCGGCTTAACGATTAAAAAAAATAAGTTCATTGTTATGGAAAATGGGCTGTATAATAGTCTTTTATATTAAAAGCGCCTTTTAAAAAGGCCGTCCCACTAAGACTTTAATGGGATTGAATAATAAGCTATAAAGATTTTAAATGGTTTATTCTTTCCGTCTTGTTTGTGAGCAGTAGTAGCTTATACTTATTTTAGATGCTTTGATTTACTATCCGGATGGCAAGATGCTGTATCGAGAGTCGATAAAATAAGTTTAATGAGGCTGGCTCGTATATCAGAGTCGGCATTATAAAGGTGGGTACCAACTGTCAAAGGGCTCATTGTGGCGGCTTGCCTTTATGATGGCATTTTTACAGTCAGGTACTGGCTTTGAACGCCTGCCGTGCCGCCCGCCAATTATATTCTACTTATCTTGGTATCCAAGTTATAACCTGCCTGATCTATGGATAACTCCATAATAGTGGACACACGTGTACAGCATTTTTATCGATCTCAGAAATTGTTATAGAACAGAGTAGAAAAATCAGCAGTAAGCGTTTCTGATGTCGATTATTTGAAAAAAGAAAACACATTGCTATTAGGTGATTCCGAGATTAATAGGAGAGCAAATCGTTTCAATAAAAAAATGTTAAAATTTGTTCATAATTGGCGTAGGTATCGCCTAACATAAACCCAAAAAAAAATTATTCCAACTGAAAATTTTAACCTTTATGATGTTGGTTAAAAATGAAATTCTACAGCATTTAAAATGTAATCACTAATGATCAAAAAATTGTGGTTCTTATGGCCATTAAAAAAAACCTCCAGTATAAGTTGATTATCTCAGAAATTTGAGTTAGAATGGTGGAGGATATTTTAAATAAAAAAAAAAAATATATATTTACTTGGAAACGTAAAACGTTTATTATACTTATTAATTTTGATAATTCTGATGAGAAGTTTTGATTGTGACTTAAGTATGTTGCTACATTATTAGTATTGGTTTACTGAGTTTAGTTTTTAGTGGTTTTTTATGTTCAATAGAGTTCATAAAAAAAAAAAAATGTCGAATAAATAAATTTATGTTTACATTACGCATTATTTGTAGAATATAATATTAGGAAATTTATATTCGTATCTTTAATCTGCACTGTTATGTAAGTAGATACAATTAGTTGTAAAAAGCTAAAAGTTGTACAAAGTTAAAAGTGTAAAAGAAAATATATAAAAATACAAGTAAGCAAATTAAATTATTCAAAGGAGGCAAATAAACGAAGCGATTAATGACTTCAACGAAACATTAACATGGTGTAGGCAGATTTATGCCATTCTCGTGATGTTACCCCATTAGATTGAGACTACAAATTTAAAATGTAAACAACACTGCTACATCGGTAGCTGTGAATCTGCTTTTAGCGATGTACGTCAAACAGAGAATTGTATAATCAAATAAGGCGCAAAATTATGTGTAAAAGAAAAATTATGAGTATATTGTGTGGCTAATTGAGAGGAAGGAGGCGGTGCACAATGGCAGAGCCGGGGGCGGTCGTTTTATTCGTTGCTGGTGCTGTTGACAGTTGTATGTAGAGGGTGGTATAGGGCCGTCGCGGGGGAGGGGTGACAGCCGGCGCGGCGCCCGCGCAGCTCGCGTGGCCCTCTCGCCTGAGTCACGCGCGCCTCGTAATGCTTGCATAATAATAATGACGGATGCCGATCGCGCGGCGGCTCCTTTGATCTGCGACGCGTTTGATCTCGCCGCCGGAGCCGGTCCCACCGCCCCTGCCGCACAAACGAGCCGCCCGTTCACCTTTATTCGGTTCGACGCCGCACGGCGAGTCGTTAGGCCCTTCGCGGTTCGCCCTCGCTCTAAATAGAGGCTTTATTTTGTAAACAGCGGGAGCGCTACTGTGCGCGCGAGTGGAGGCCAGGTCCGCGGATCGGGGCGGTACGGCAGTGGCGCGTTTGCGTTGGCCAGTATGGGGTGTGCTCTAATTTACTCCTGGCGCTGGTGCTCGTCTGCTGCCCACTGTTCCAACTGCGCGTATTGCGCCCTCTGTGCTCACTGCTGGAAGTGATGAGGGCTCGGAGGCGCGGCGGGTACCGCCGCACCTACTGGAACTGGATCCTATGGACACTCTGTGTACGCCTTGTTTTATTATTTTGTGGGATATGCCAATTCTTTTGTGTTCAAAATAGTGGTGATTAAATTCTCAATAATATAGTAAATATAGGTAGTATTTTTACCTATTGAAAAGGGATAAACTTCAACAGATGTTTTGGTAAGGTTTGCTGTTGCAAACACACTTAAAGGTTAAAAATAAATAAAGATAGGTAGGTAGGTAGAAATAATATAAATAACTAGACGTTTATTTATCTTAAAACATTTGATATCCACCTCCCTTAAATTTGAGTTAAATTATAGTATATCCAGCTAATGCTTATAATATCTATTAAATATTATATACGTATATAAGTACGATTCTATCTATTTAATTTTTATCAATAACTCCTAACAAAACAACCACATAGATAATGGGTATGCAGATACATGCGATTTTTATTCTAAAATTAAGGCTAAATATCTATACAGGATAGGATTCTGGCGTCGTTACAAAATTAATTGCCCTTTTTGTGGAAGTTCCTATTGCAATCGTCCATAGCGCTACCTACTGACCTAATTTCTTATTGAGATATTTGTTCAAACGTCCGAATATCTAGCAGTAGCATTATATATACCTACAGGTAGGTTAATGAATCGACCTGTGTATTTCTAATGGGAAACATAGTAACATAAAAGATATTTTTAGTTTAACAACATAAGGGGTTAATAACCATGAAAATAGTAATTTCGTATTTTTAAAAGAATTCTTTTCAAAGAATTTGTTTATATTTTGTAATAAATTGTTCAGTGGTGAAAACACACATAGTGAATTTGTGTATTATACATATTTGGGATTGTTATTTGGAACGTGTACAATAAAGGTATTATCAAACAATATTGGTAATAATAAACAAGCAAAAATACATTATATTTTTCCTGGTTTTCATCTTCAGTCCTCCTCTTAAGGGGAGACTTGTGCTCAATAGTAGAGCGTGAATAGTTTATTAAGATATAATAAATAAAAAAGGGACATAAGAAAAAGTATACATCTATAGCGACTGAATTTAATACATGCAAGAAATGTTAAATTAAATTTATGTTCACTATGTGTGGTATACGAAACTCTTTACAAATACTGGTTTATTTTTTTTTTTGTGATATTACCTTTCTAACTATTAATGTTTACCATAATATCATATTATCAACGAATAAAATGTCCAGCTTTGAATAGTACTTGTCAAATTTGTTTTAAAAAGGAACATTGACCTGAGTCCTTTGGGATGGCAATGCATGTGGGGGGGGGGGGGTATCATGGGCGAAACAGTATACTCTGTTATGTCCATGGTACTGCACACGTATATAGGCGACGGTTACCATTTTCCATCGAGTGGGCCGTCAGCTTGTTTGCCATTCTAAGTTGTATAAAAATAAAATAAAAATAAACACATTTTGTTAATGTTTGCCGAAGTAAACAAATTAAATGCTGCTGTAACGAATGAAAATGATATTGATTATTTCGCGGAGGTTGCTGCTATATCAGCAGCTTCTTTACCTAGTTCACATATGGCAACTGTACCTGTTACCGTTAATAATTATCACGCCTAAGCTCTTATCGAAATTAGAAGTTCAATAACATTCTTCATAAATGAAGATTTGGCGCAACTCTTGAAATTAAGACAGAAACCTTGTCAGCAAATTATTACTCTAGCTTCACTTAATCATACATCTCCAGTCATCTGTTACTTTAATGATATCATACAATTATATAATCACTCTCACAGCAATGCCAAGTTACTACTTATACGTAACTTATGCACTGATATTATTTTAGGTTGACTTGCTTAAAAATCACCATTCTTCACCATTTCACTCCAGTTCGGAGGTTTTAGAGATTCTCTGAAGATAGGCAATATTATGGCTGTAAATTTACCTAACATAATTTTATTTTCAAATTTATCGCCTAATATCAAACATGTGGCAATAAAATTAAAAAAGCTATAGTGATGATGACCAAAATTTGATTTTCGAAGATGTTCAAAAGGTACTAAAAGATGGAATTATAGAGCCAAGTATGCCATCTTGGCGGGCACAAGTCCTAGTAACTGGTGGCGATACGTATCGAAAAGCCTTGTTATTGACTATTCACAAACAATAAACAAATTTATAGAACTCGATGCGTATCCATTACTGAACATTTGAATTTATTGTATTTAAAATGGCTCAGAATAATTATTTCAGCCAAATGGACCTTAATAGTGCTTACCATCAAGTACCGATTCAGCTAAAGGAACGACCTTACACAGCATTTGAAGCATTTGGTAAATTATATAAATTTACACGTATATTGATTTGAGTTACAAATGGCGTGTTAGCATTTCAAAGCACGAAGCAATATATTATTGATAACGAAAATCTTACAGTTGCTTATTTAAACGATGCCACTGTTTGTGAAAAGGATAAACTTACTCATGACGCCAATTTAGCTAAATTTATGACTTTATAGATATGGTAAATGATATAGCAGTATAAAAATATAAAATTACTCTAAATGAAGACAAATGCTGATAAAAAGCGTCTTAAACTATTACTTTCTATACCTTAGCTTACAGACTCAACTTCCTTGAAGAAAATATTATGTATGTTTGCACATTTTTCTAGACAAATAAACAATTATTCAGAGAAAATAAGTCCTTTAGTAAATTAATAACTCATTTTCTTTATCACATGAGGCAAGTGAATCATTTGAAAGTATCAACAAATATATTGCGAATGCACCTTTAGTAGCAAATAACGATACACAAATGTTCACTGTCGAAACAGATACTTCTGAGCATGCTTTAGCAGCAATGCTTTCGCAAATCTTTCCCGATCGTTAACAGATTCTGAAAGAAACCATTCGTCAATAGAGAAGGAAGCATTGTTGATTGTTAAAAGCCTACGTAAATGGCGCCATAATTTAGTTGGAAAACGTTTTCTTTTAATAATTGATCAACAATTCATCTCTTTTATAATCAATCAGAAGCATATAACTAAAATTAAGAATGAGAAGATAAAGAGATGAATATATGAAAAGTCTTGTTTTAAATTTGATATTGTCTATCGACCTGGTAGACAAAATATAGTTTCAGACGAACTATCTAGAGTTTGCGCTAGTACATTTTCACGTAAAAAATTAATTGAACTGCACAATACACTATGCTATCCAGGAATTATAAGAGTGGTTTATTGGGTGCGTTTTAAAAAATTACCGTATTCACTTACACAGATCAAAGATATGACTGCGAGTTGTCCTATTTGTGCTGAGATAAAACCTAGATTTGCAAATAGCGGAGGACAACTTATCAAAGCTTCTTCTCTATTTGAAAGATTCAGTTTATATTTTAAAGGGTACTGTAGTGAAAAATGAATACTGAAAATAAATTTATATTAACTATTGTTGATGAATTCTCTCGTTTTCTATTTGCTTATTTATGCAGACTGTCTACATGTAATATACTCAGATTATGAGGCTGGATTTATGTCGCAAGAATTTAAATATTTTCTACTAAGAAATATTGCTTGTAGTTGAACTTCACCTTACAATTAGAAAGGAAATGGTCAAATAGAAAGATTGAGTGGGGCATTGTGGAGAACTATCCAATCTTTAAGATCCAAGAACTTTGACATGCATATTGGGAACAGATACTACCTTTGGAATTACATTCCATCCACTCTTTGTTATACATAACTGCGTATGCTACTCGACCTGATAAGTTGTTCTGTTTTCCTAGACGATCTGGTAATGGAATTTCTTTACTTTCATGGCTAATGATCTCTGGCCCAATACTATTGGAGAAAAATATAAGAAAAAGTAAATATGATCCTTTAGTAGGAGAGGTCGAATTGCTAGAATCAAACTCAAACTATTCTTTAGTACGCTTTGCTTATAGACGAAAGAATACTGCATCAAATAGACATCTTGCACGAGATAATAAATTAGTTGGAGATATAACTAACACTGAAGAAATTGAGAACTCTGATCGTTGTCGAACTGGTAGATACCGAGAATTGAACTGAATTGACACACAGCAACTGAAATCGATAATCTAAATGTTGATAGCTCTGTACTTTCTCTCAGTGGCTTGTTCATGAAAGAAGACCTCTGGCTTACTTAGGGAATTACGAATCACAATAAATCAGGTTTTGAAAACATAGGTGGGTGAATGTGGAATACGAAACTGTTTACAAATACTGGTTTATTTTTCTATCATTGTCTTAAGAGTGTGACATTACCGTTCTAACTATTAATGTCTATCATAATACCAATGTATCGTTATTTCTTGTTGAATTAAACCAATACTTCCCTACTGTCTATATAGTTTTGTATCACTATGTGAATGGAAAACAATAAAAAATCAACTTACGTCACGTCAATTGCGTATATTTGAACCATAGACGTAGCACCTAAATCTTTGAGTGCGACAATTTACGAACTTATGTAGAAAAAGGTGTCAAAAGAATATAAAAATACAACTATATAAAAAAGGCCGGCTGACCAAATTGCCAGTAATATTCTGCATTGATAAGAATTGATGTTAATTACATCCCAACCCAAATTATTGAACTTTTTAAAATAAATACAGTGGGTATTATAAGAATATTTGATAATAGATGTAACTGCTTGCTACTTTTATACTTAATATTGGACGATACATATTTGATATTTATACTTCTATAAGTATAAATATCATTTATTACTCTATAGTAACAGGATAATATTATTAACTGTTAAAACTTGTTTCCTTTTCGAGTTATGACTCGAATCTGTACGACAGAAATTTTAAATTAATATCTACAACTAGATCGCCTACTCGATTACTTCCTTCAGCGAGAAATTGCAGAGAGCGTAATATGGTTGGTGTGTGTAAACAACTTACTGTACAGTTGCGGAGACTACTCAGTTTTCATTAATTGAATCTTAAGATTTGTGCAATAGGGTATATAATTTAATTTATTCAGAATTTGTTTACTAACATTGAGAAATTGAGCAGATTTTTATTAAAAAATACAAGAAGCAGCCTATAACTAAAAAGACATTAAAATTAGATCATTCATTTGAGAGACATTGTGATGCTACAGACATACACACATACATAGCTCGATTTCTAATTTGCAACAAGTTTTATGTAGATAGTAGGTACAATACCTACATTTTTTATAAAAATAACTATGTTAATAAAGATTGTTGAGAAAGTTGTATGACTTGTTCGTGTCTTTTTGGGCTTTATTATTTCTACTTACTCCGACATCGTGGACTAACATTCAATTACATATATATTTGGTATTTTTTTTTTATGAATGACAATGAAATGCACTAGTGCGGGATAGTAGGTAAGAATGAAAAGCCAGATCAGTTAGCCCATCGTGATGAATACACCTGGAATTCAGCACGATGATTTTCAGGTGGGGAGTGTCGAGTTCCACGTGGCGGTCGACTTAACAGGGTATATTGCTAGCAATGGGACTGGTGGTTCACAATACAAACAATCCTTTTTTCCCTACATATTTGAGTTTTTAATTATTGATATTTCTATTTAAATAATCGACCTCTTGTCAGTACAGGTGGTTGATATTTTTATGCCATTTAGAATGACAACAACGATTTGCCTGTTGATAAGTCGTAACAGTCGCTTTTAAATGTAAACAGAAACATGTACATCACAGAATACACGATCACCATAGGCAAAACCATGGGCATCTATTGATGTTCATTCCTTGTGCATTGCCATTCTCATTAAAACTATGATGTTATGTCTCCATACTCTGTTATTTCCCTGTGGTAATTTATATAATCCCTTTAATTTGAAATAAAGCCATGCAAGCATAAAGAATTGACGGTAAAAAATCGTGTGAGATAGAAATACCTAAGTCTGATGTCTTTTATACAAAATCTTCCTTTGGGAAGGTCTTCTAGATACCGTCATTTTGACTCTTTTTCTCCTTTCCTTTTTGACTTCTTATCATTCTCATTTCAAATTCAGTCGGGCAGCGAAACTTCAAGGATGTTCATAGCTAGCTCAAGCACTTTGGGTCGTATGAAGAATTTATTACATGTATACATGTAATAAATTTTTCATACTGTTATAACAACATGTTTTAGTTCCATGGAAATTGAGGTTAGTTGTATGCATTTCAGATGGTGTTGTGTGCTGCTGGTGAGAGTGTCGCTGCTCCTGATAGACTGAAGCTGGTGTGGCTCACGAATACGACTCTCACATGCAACGATGGTACACCCGCCGGGTAGGTTGTATATTTAACTTATGTATGAAATTGAAGCATATACCTGGCATTTTTTAATGGAGGAACGTGGAATGATATCTATCTATGTTGACAGTGTACATTCTACTATAGTGGGGTTTTAGTGACCGATGTTATATCAGTTGGCTTATTGTGGTGAATACCTTAGATAATTTGTAATGGACTTACCACAATGTTATTAACAATTATTTTCTTTTTGGTCCCTTTAAATTTTAAATGAGTGTCTTATGATTAATAGTATCACAAATATGGAAGGATGGGGATGCCTAGAATAACCTATAATAGTCAGATAGGTCGTGTATTGTCTTTGGGAAGAGTAAAAAGGTTTTAAAATCGGTCGGTATGCATGAAACGAGTTAAAAAATTATATATATATATATATATATATATATATATATATATATATATATATATATATATATATGAAAGTAAAAAAGGTACAAGTATAATATACAGGGTTTGTGAAATTCACCCTTTAATGTTATAAGGTATCATAAAAATGTAAATACTTATTATAAGTTTTCGTGCATCTTAAGTACAAGTAATGGTAGTAATAAATGTGATTTTTAGAAGGTTTTTATTTTTTCCTGTTTCTAATAATAACAATCTGGAAAAAAAATTACATAATTATGTAATTTTCTTTCTGGAAAATGATTTAACCGTACAAAACTAACTACAAAAATTATATATTGTGTGTATTAATTATTATATACTCTAAAATCGACAAAATTGGTATATAAAATGTAAGGATCCATTTGATTACTAAAATGTATTTAAGAGAAGTTATAAAATTACAAGTTCCATATATAAACTTTTTAAATTATAAGTATTCAAGTTTGTATGTTACGATAAGATTTGGCACACGATTGTTAGAACCAATCGGTAGATCGATCGCTCTTCACTTAACAGGAAGCTGACAGAATAACTTCCCTGTTGATATGACATACCAATTAGTAGGAGCCTGCGGGATGAATCGAATTGGGGATCAAATCGAATAGACGTCAAATTGACGTAACCTAACTTTATGTTCCAATTCGATTACGCCATAAGTAACCTTGCATACAACTCGATTTAAAAAAAAATATACAAGAATGTTTATGCTATATAATACAAGTAACGTTTACATTACTTGTGAAAATTAGAATATAAACGATTTTATTTTTTAAAGAAATTATCGAGAAATTAGGACAATATTGTGGTACACGCCTACATATAATATTATAATATATGTACATAGACAAGATGACACGAGTATTTAATTTACTTATAAATAAATATAAAGTTTATAATAATTCTATTATTCTTCAGTTTAGTTCAGTCTCAGAGCGTTTTTAAATATATTCTGAAATATTATGAGACGTGGGCATGCCGTTACGACTATGACAGCTATAGACAAATGCCTCTGATTCCCTAATAATAGTCGTAAGCATATTTTTTATTTAGAAATATGTTACCAATATCATTATGTTTAGAGGAAGTATTCCAGAATGTTTTAGACCCAGTCAATGTTCATAATACAGAAAAAACCGAATTTCAATATTTAATTCAGCTTTGCTGTTTTTACGATTTTCCATTATTTTTTGGTACAGAATAAAAACGAATTAACATTTGCGTAGAACGAAAATACCACAGACTATTCAAAATTTATGAAAATTGGTAACATAGTGAAGCATTAATGTAATGTTGATATTTATTATAGAACGAATAATGATCATTAAATATGTTTAAAAATGAAAACGCATAAGATTTTTTATTGTGTTAATTTCATTCTGAAAATTTAATTCTAGTTTTATGACATTTTTGGACGGTGATAACTTATTATATATACTTCATGTATGCTTTATGTGTCCTTACTAAAGTTTTTATCTATGATACTTTTTTATTGCAATATTAACTTCTATATTTTATATTGTTATTTTTAAATTTATATAGTCCTTGATACGAAATAAATAAACCAAGAAATAACCCTAAACACTTTAAACCAATAATTTACTAGTAACTTTATTCTAAATTTTAATTAATCTTAAATAAATAAATTAATCTTAAATAATTTTTTTGAGATACTGTACAATGATTGCGACCAAAATGAAATATTATTATTTTGAATGTATCTTTGAAATAAAAGCGTTGCTAGTTTTGCGGTGTAAACACGACTTAATCTGATACAAAGTAACAATTAATTTGTTGTTTTTCAGATATTATATACGTAGAGGCACAAACACGCAACACTGGGTAGTGTACCTGGAAGGCGGCGGATATTGCTGGGATGCATCGTCCTGCGGTGCTCGCTGGCGTCGACGTCCTGCCCTCATGTCCTCTTCGAAGTGGTCACGCTTTCGTCGAGCGCCCGCCCTACTATCCGACGATCCTGAAGCAAATCCACTGTGGCACGACTCTAATCACGTTCTGCTCCCTTATTGTACCAGTGACATGTGGGCCGGCACACGGATTACGCGACGTTTCAATACCAGCTTTGCTTTCACCGGACGACTCATTGTCCGCTCAGTTTTGATGGAACTTCTTCATAACGGTCTCACCGGGCGGTTATTGTTAGTAGGTTCAAGTGCCGGTGGTGCTGGTGTAATGCTTCATGCGGATGCTGCACGACGGATGCTGCGTTCACATGGTGTAAGAGTAGCAGCAGTTGCAGATTCTGGATGGTTCCTCGATCGGCCAGCGAGAGCGCGACGTAGTTCTGCAAACGCTGTGGCTAAATTCGGTCACTCCTTGTGGCATGGGACTCCACCGCCAGCTTGTGTACGAAGATATCCTACTGAACCATGGTTGTGTTATTTCGGATACAGACTATATCCGCATATTCGTACTCCATTATTTGTATTTCAATATTTATTTGATTCGGCGCAGCTCGCAGCGGAGGGTGTACGATCACCCCGAACCAGAGAACAATGGGATGCAGTTCATCAAACCGGCGCTGCGTTACGGTCGAGTCTCAAGCATGTTCGAGCGACATTCGCGCCGGCTTGTCTAGCGCATGGCGCTCTTGCACGGCCAGAGTGGTTGGCGATTAACGTGTCAGGAGTAACTTTGCCACGTGCTATTGGATGTTGGGAGCAAAGACTCGGGAGTGGCGGGAAACGTGCGCGTGCGGGTTGCGCACCGAGGCGTCTCATTGAGCGATGCTCGTGGCCACAGTGCAATAGTTCTTGTCCTCGCCTACGGGACCCACGAACAGGTGAGGAGGTGGCGTTGGCTTCTTTATTACAAAGCTTCGGGTTAGATGTTAGCGGCGCGGCGGCTGCTATGGGTCTCGATGCTCGGGCACTCTCTCGAATGAGTAGGGCAGAACTTTTGCCGTTATTAGCACCACATACGTGACGTATAGTATTAAAAATTATTTGTGCCGTAGGGCACGGTGAATCTACCTCGTTTTTTGTTGCGCAAGTACAATTATTAATGTTTAGATATTATTTATTGTTTATAAATTAACTGTATCTTATTTATAATAAGTAAAACATTTACAATTTATTTTTTGTTTTTATCAATGATTTGTTAAAAAAAATATTTATATTGTTGCATGTGTAGTCGTGTCAACAGGAATTAATATTTTTTTTTTAACTTGGGATAAATCATTAAAACTGAAAAAAAATTAAAATGCTCTATTTTGTAAGTAATTATATACAAAATTGTTTGTTAGTGATGGACTAGTACATGGTAATCTTACATAAATAAAATACTTAAAATTATCTCACTAGTAACATTTCACGTGGTTTCGTATTTGGCAGTGGAACATAGCGGCTCTAATATTTTCTCTGAGGAACAACTATTGATAGGTATTTAGATAAATAGTTTAGTGTGGCACTTTATACCGATTTCTGCGACGAGGCAACCATGGTGATCGTCCTGTCGCAATGGTTATGCGGCCGCGATGCGATTTTACGTAGAGTCCGCCACTTCTGGATTTTATGCTATGACGTCATAAACGGCTTGATCCACGCTCGATATTGAGAGCTATCGACACATCAATAACATCATTTCCAAGGAAGAAATCTGAGGACACAATGTTAGCGTATTGTCGCCATCTTGTCACAAGTCGAGATGTAACATTACGGTTGACATCGTCTGCGTTCGCTCTGAGGGACCCTCGAAGGAAAAGGATATCTAGTACTGTAGGGGTAGTTTGTGCCATCGCTGAATAGAGCGGTGAGAGCGCTGTAGGTTGGGGCGACACGGTGATCGCTTGGTCTAAGTACTGGAATAGCTCGGTAGGGCAGTTTGTATTCGCCCATAAGTGAGGTAGATTCGGCCAAAGAAAGTTGTTTTCTGAAATTATTAATTTATATTTAATTTTATAATATATTTTTGTGATATAACAAGTAAGACATTAATGTTTTGGTTGTAATAGAATTCGAAATACTGGAATTGTATCTATTTATATCGTGACGGTACAATCATAAGATATCACGTCGTGCTACAATAAATTATAAAAGCGACACATGAATGAATATAAAAGTACCAAAATCTAAGTTAGCAGAACAAGTGTTAATTTTATGAGAGAAACAATATGATATTTCTGAAAATATTGTTGTTTTCTCCTTTGTGCAGCAAAAAGTTGTTGGCAAGAAATTAAAGTTCCAAGAAAGAGCACCACAATTTAGAATTTCCGGGAATGTCGGCCGTGATATTACAAAGTCAGTACCTCAGGGTCCGTACAACTGTCAAAGTTTAACGTAAGAAATGACTAAATTGAAACCCTATTAGATATCCAATTTTGTAAGTTAATATAAGGTCTTAAGAGGATGGTTATTTCGGTCAGATCGTCGGATAACATCAGACGGAATAAGTAAGTGATACTATATTTTCCTTATAACTTCTGTATTTGTCAATTCGGAGTAACTAATAAACCATTAATATTTTATTATTCAATTACAGAAGTTAGTATACTTTAGTAGATAATATTTTGGATATATTAAAAATATGAACTTAAATTGAAATTTTTCAATGTAGTTAAAGTTTTTTACTTTCGCAATTTGTATGAAATTGGTAGCTTTGAATGTAATAACTAGGTCTCATAATACGTAGCCAATAGGTCAGTGTCCTACAGAATTAGTTTAGTGCTTACAGAGTTAGTTACCACATAGATACAAGTGGCAGGATATTGTAATTTTAGGTCATTAATACGTCAACTTTTAGTTCAAATATAGTTCTCGAATTTTAAGTTTGACACATTTATCGATAAAGTTTAAATAAAAATAAAAAAACAGTAGTTAATCAGCGTTCCATTTTTTTTTTATTAATTAGTAGCTGCCATAATATCATTGCGGGAATTTAGTTATAATCTATAATAATATTATAAAGACGTACTGTTTATGAGTTTAGATGTTTGGGGTAATCTCCGGTATAACTAATCCATTTTTGAAAATTCTTTCAATGTTAGAAAGGTATATTTTCCCTGAGTGCTATAAACTATATAAACGCGTATATATCAAACTGCTAAAGAGGCAGTTTATTTTAAACTCTTAGAAAATATTACCACAGTATTTTCGTAGTCGTCAAAATACAAGTCTTATCAAAATGTGTTGAAACAGTTTAAACGTTACACAAACAAATAATATTGCACCCATGCGAAGCCGGAATGGGTCGCTAGTAGTTATATTTTCATATATTTTCTGATTGAGGTACGAGTACTTTTCTGGATACTTTATCTCCATTTTATGTCTATCATATTAATTATCAACAGTAAAACTAGATAGAAAAGTTAAATTGAAAATGATAGTAGGCACTTACCTCTTACTATAGTGTTATCCACGTAACTGAAAAGCAGTCTTTTGTCTGCATCTAGTAATGTTTTGAGAGTTGGTCCCCGGCTGCCTGGTTCCGTAGCGAAGTTTACGGCGTTTGCCATGTGGGGGCCTAGTTCTCTTTGAACCAATTCTATTAGACCCTCGTGGACTTGTCGGATGGGGCGTCCATCGGTGTCATAGAAGCCTATAGGGAAATGATGGGCGTCGAGGAATACAACCTGAAATCAAATGTATATTTTTTTTAATAATATTGCCCTTAGGGATTTTATTTTAATAATTAAAATGAAATGACTGCAACCTTTGTCCTCAGAAATATCAAAACATAAGGAGTAACATGGGTTGACATCTATGTTACACTTTATGTGTTGATATTTAAGTGCCTAAATTGTCAGTTTATATAAAAATATATATTCTAATTTGTGTAAAAAATTAATAATGATAATTTATGACAGACACTAAGAAGAAATTCTCATAAATGAAGTTTAATGACGTAAAAGTTGTTGATTCGTGTAATATCATCCACTGAATATATAATTACTAAAAGTTTCCGCGATGGTAAATCATTATTTATGCAAGATAGGGAAACGCGGTGGAGATAGGATGAAAAATTAATAAGATTTATATGTTCATGACTGTAATTCTAGACGGGGTAGTGAAAAGTATTTTGTCGACTGTTACTAAAACATTACATTGTGACACTTGATATTGTAACATTTTACTGAGCATATTAGAATTTAATACGGATAAAACATAAGACACTATATTACTTTCTTCATAGTCCCTAAAATAATTTGCTGCTGGTATAGAATATTAATATAGAAAAAAAAATTAACTATGACTTCAATAAGTATTTTATTTCATTAATCGATGAAATAAATATAAAAATAGATAAATCTATCACTGCCTTTTGGTTTAGTTTTAGTAATCGAAAACTCTTCGTAAAATTGTAAGAAATTTTTTGTGTTGTACATTAATGGTAATTTACCTTCTAAGGGTTGAGTAATTGTACCCATGTTAGTTATCATAATACAACATTAGCCATATAGAATAAAAAAAAAATAGGTCAAAGAAAAACCTACCTCTCTTGTATTGTCTAGGAATGTTCTAATTTCTTTTAGTAGCGGCACCAGTGGACGGACTCGTATTAGATTGTGATTCAGCCAATATCTGTCGATGTAAGTATAAATAATGTATTAATATTATGAATTCCGCAGAAAGAAAGTTATGACTTTTCGGAAAAGTTTTCTGTAATGCCTTAGTTCGGAAATAAGTAAGAAGACTACTTTTACTAAGAAATTATAGGGTATGGAATCATAAAATCTTAGTTCTCAGGACTGGTATCGCGTAAGAGGTATCTACCATGAACATCACAGTATATTCTGTATTGTTCATGTGTATAGGCACGACCTTCCATCAGTTGTATCATTAGTTTGGTTGCCATGATATTTAACATAAAAAAAACATAAAAGTTTTGACATTAAAATAAATAAATGAAATGTACATATTCATAAAAGCAGATTAACTCTTAATATAAAGTAGATAAGGAACATAATAATAAAAGTATATTTAAAGAGTTTTAAAAGAAGAAAAAAGATGATACATCATATCATTTAGGCTACCCGTACCTATTAACACCAAAAACCATTATTTCATTTTTCGGCAGTTGGTTAAAAGTTCCAAAATTATTTTCGTCTGGTTAAAATAGACATTTCAAATAACGAAACTTCCGACAGAGTTTGGTGCAGATCTTGGGTATACCATTAGAAGTAAAGTGTCAAAAGTCCCCATCGATTCTGTGTGTTATAAAAGTTATTTGGGGTAAATGGGATCGATGGGGATATTTGACTCTTTATTTTCAATGGTGTACTTGAGGCCTTCACCAAAATTTAGCTCTGTTGGAATTTTCGTTATTTGACCACTATTTTTATGACTAATTTGACCGGACTATTTGCACTTGTACCTCGTTTTGGTAAAATAACTTTCTAAAGTAAAACATACAAAGTAATACTTTGCAATCATTTATATAAGCGGACAAGTAAAGGTATCTATAATATAGTAATCTATACGTATCAATTCAGCTGAGCTTGCGTAATAGCTAATAGGAAGCCATGCGAAACTGATTATCCATCTAACCATGCAATGCAATGGACTTTGTTTATAACGTAACGGGTGGTAATCGTTGATTGCGAATATCTCATAGCTATCGACCTTATAACACTACTTGACAGGGGGGGAGGGATTGTTAGTAATGGGGTCTAATGAACCCATTGCTAGTAGTATACCCTATCAGGTCGACCTCCTCTTGGAAACCATCGTGGTTAATTCTAGTGGAATTCGTTAGGATGGGCTAACTGACCTGCTTTCATTCTCATCTATCATCACTTACTGGTGCCTCGTCAGTGTATACCGATAGCGCAGGTGGGGTTACCATTCCATTATCACCCAAAAAAAACACTACTTGTCAAATAAAATTAAATGTTTTTAAACATTTCTGAATAAATTCTGAATGACATTTTATAAGGTAGTTATATGGTTTATAACTAAATAATAATAATTTACAATACCAGGTAATTAAGTAAAGGACAAGTAAGACTTAATTATGAAATTATCTGCTCTATTGTTGACAATATAAGGTTTTTTTTTCTTTTTAGACACGGATAAAGTAATAGTTTTAATTACATGGATTAAGATACTTAATAAAATTACAGATTCGTCTCATATTGGATTTGTTTATTATTATATCTAACCTTATAGTTCATTTAAGAATAAATGAATATAAAAGTTTTAGGCGGAGATTGAATTTGCAACTGCGGAAGTTGAATGTGGTAAACCGACACACCACCATTGGCGTAAACAAGTGCTATTTACCGGTCATCCTCGTTTTGATAAAATTCGTAGTAAGCAACCCTGAAGTCGAAGTATCTGATGCCATGAACAAGCTGGGCCCAGATAGAACGGTCCTGACACAACACGAAGCTATCCCGTGAGGCTGTGCTAACTTCAGTGTTGAATTTCCAAGCGCCTGCATTGTGAGTACCCGCAATAGCCAGCTCTCCGATGCGTAGTCTGTTTATTTTGTCTCTGAAAGCGAATAAATTAGTATTTATTACGTCTTTTATCCCTTTTAGATTTATTGCGAAAGAATGAGATAAATGAAATGTGAACTAAGTATTATGATTAGGTATATCAAAATCTTTAATATGAATTTCATACTAAATAGTCGTAATAAATTCTGCTTTATCTTAAGTAATAATAAAATTGAAAATATTATTTTTTAATAGAATTTTCCACCAGTAAAACGGATTACTAAGAAACACTGGTCATAAACGACAAAAAATTGTTCGCTTCGCACACTAACTTGTTGTCATGAACCATCATATTAATAGAGGAGGTATATATATTTTTTATTTCTTTTTTTTTATTTATTCTTCTATCCTTAGAAATGGATGAAAACGATTTCGATTATATACATTGTTTGGGGAGAGTTTTAGAAACCGCCTATTTGGAAAAATATGATTATATTAATATTTTATGTGAATGAAATTATTTAAACACAGGCGAGTTTATATCCGTCTCTTTAGATTGTCGTTTTAATTTGTACTTGATCAATAAATTAATTATTATTTATACACTAACCCATTATCTTCCATCCACGTTGGTTGTATCTTCAGACAATTATACGCTAGTATTTGGAGGTCGCCTGCCGCAACCCATGGCCAGAGACAATGCGGGCCTTTTCGCCCGGGACCTGTCAACCAGCCTCCAGGCAAAGCACCTTCGCCTAGAGAGGTGTTAGTGATTATGTAGCCCTCTACTGAATTCAGTGGATATGTCTCTAATGCATTATTCCACGAAAGCGGCCTATTGCTGAAGAGGCCTATCTGTGGGCGCAAAATACAGATAAATTAACAGTAAATTTCGAATACAGCCCCTTAATCAACAAATTATATGGATGAACTAGAATAATTGAAGAACACCAAAACAACAGTAATGAGAGATATTTAGAAAGGATATATGAATTTTTAAAGTAGAAAACTTTTAACTTTTTAGCATAAAAATAGTCTAATCCTTTTCCATCTTAACTACTACGTGTATGCCAAATTTTATGACAACCGGTCGAGCCATTATGACGCTTACAGGCAACAAACGAACAAACTCACTTTCACATTTATAATGTTAGCAAGGATTGAATCGAGTTGTAAAAGAACACGTACGTAGGTACAACAATGTTCCTGTTACCGTACTTTCACACGAATGTACAATTGAGCCTATGAATCGGTACTGAGCATTACCGTATGAATACTACTATTTTTGTTATATTTCATAACACAGCGTTCGAGCTATTGATGAGGTGAATAATAAAAACGCGGTCGTCAATGAGTGTTGTCTGTTGCGATTACTGTCACGTTGCATCTGTTATACAATATCGCAGTTCAAAAATGGTTTTGGCACAGTTATACTAAGTATTTATTTATATACACTCAACAATTAGGATGATTAAAGCCTCCGGAATAGGAGTTTACGAAAGTAGAAACAGATGTAGGTATATAAGGCCAGAAGCCTTCGGAAATCGGTTTTCCTTGGCTGAAAGGGACATGGAAGGGAATTGGATAAATAGGTAAAAAGGATATTTAACATTTATGGTCGATAGTAATTAGCCTATGGTACTTAAACAAGAACAACATTTAATATAATTAACATGTAATTGAAATAAATGTTTTATTAGTATTATTTTGTTATCAAGGCATAAATATTTACTTACACGATTGAGTGTTTCCTTTTTTACTAGTATTTTAAATCTTATAATCAAACTGGATATTGTAACGCTATTATTATTCGATCATCTTACTGGAAACTGCTTAATATTAGCAACATTTTTGGTAGGCATGCAAACCGCTTTGTTTAAACCAATATCAATGAGCAATAAAGCTGTTAAGAAAATTGTTCGTGAATTACAATGTGAGTACAACGACATATTTATTGCTATCAAATGTGAACAGATTGACCTAACCAAGTGTCAGGGACAATATTACTTGGATGTTTTGGAAGATATTTTTTTACACAATTTATTATGATCTTCATGTCTAATACTAATTTTAAACAAAAATGTGTGTTGTTGTATTTTAATTTGAAGACTAAATCCAGTAGTGACTGTACAGTCAGTAACTAAGTAATTCTCTGTTAAGAGATACTGAACAGTAAACATCTGAGTGTACAATTCAGAATATCAAACTCGAGTCAAATTAGAAAAAAATATTTCAAAATTTAATCTCATTTCGAATCGAATTCGGGTCTCATTTACGCAAAGCAAATACACTGAGCAACATAGAGGTCGTTAACTGTAGCCATGTAAATTTCTGATAATGAAGAAAAATACCGTCTTAGTCTTTACCGGTACGAGTCAGTACTATTACTGTTGTACCACTTATGACACTTCACATAGCCACTAACTTTTAAGATGGCATTATACATATATGTCGAACCTCCAAATTTCTTCTTTGAAAAGTTTTAAGTAATAAAAAAAATCTCAAGTAATTTCTCAAGTGTAGACGAAACTGTAGATCATTTATTTGTTTCGCAAAACTCGTATTTATTAAATGAACCCAGGTATTTATTTATATGGAATCATTTTTATTTAGGAGATTTTGAAAAATGTGCCAGTTATAAAACCTTTCTGGACATAAAAAAAGTCATCTAGTAGCTGACTACAATTGTAAAATAGAATTCTGTATTTGATATATGTAGTGCAATGATACGGCTCATATACAATTTTAAATTCTGAAAAATGAACATTTGAAAGGAACATAGGCGAAAAACGAGAAATAATTTAGAGCTTGCTATTTTAATTATGTTATGTAGTAATTATGTAGTGGGAGATTGTCTTACACGTACATTGCGTTTGTATTTGCTTTAGAATAATACATATATATTTCTGTCATGAATTAATAGGTAGAAATAATAATATTTTAAATATTAGAGATAGTTTTGTTACCTGTTTAGGAATAGTGGAACAGCCATTGAAATCCCAATTGAGCTCTATCGCGTCTAGAAGATTTGGCGCCAGCGTTCTTTGGATTGCTGGAGAGTGGATTGTGATCCACACCCTTCCGCACATAGAGCCTTCCAAAAATTGGTCTTTCGTCGCTGAAAACATTAATTTATAAATTAATATCAAAATACAATACTGAAATATTTAAAGTAACATATTTATAACTAACTATAAAGTACAGTAATGTTAATTAGTACTAATTACAGTCGGCTAGAACTGAAATGGTCGTACAATGCGGTTTTAGAGGTATTTCTTCCTGCGGACACACAACCTGTAAGATGAGCCTCTACAGGGAGCTCATTTTTTTACAGAGAGTACAAGACGTATTGGGTTTCTTAAGGTCGATAACATGCTCATGACATCATAATGTTGCTTCTATCAACTGTTTGAACATTTGATTCAATTTTATGAAGGAACTTGAAATTAAAATTTAGTTTATTAGAAGCAGTTGCAACATCTAGTCAAATAGTCTATCTTTGTGATAATAATATATAGAATTAAAATATCCACCACCATTGTTAATTAATAGTAAATTATATTGTATATATATTTTCACCATTGTTTTCCCTCTATCTAATAACATTGATTCAATATTATTACTCATATTAATATCATCCAATATGTTCGGAGTTGGCGCAGAATGTTTTCCTCATCCATTTATCCTTAGAAGTAGTACTATATCTATCTATATTTCAATCTTAATATACTAAGTAATGTAATAGAAATAAGATGAATATCATCTATTTTAATATTTCACATGAATATCAGAATATATTATATATCATTATGGAAATATTTCTTCTATTTATGATAAGAGAAACACAGGATGAATGAATATTTATTAAGAATGAATTTGAAGTCAAGGCGGAGATCAGTACTTTTACTATTTTTTTCTAACAGATCCTAAAGAAAAGTGCTTAGAAATTTTCTACACTTACTGTTTATACGACATTTTTGTAAATCTGGACATGACGATGAGGTCTCTGGAGTATTAGAGAGATCTGATATGGCAATAAAAGTAGTGTCTATGATCAAGAACGAAGTTGCAAACACCATCAATAAGCAAATACGAGTAAACTATAATGTCATGACCTTAATATCAAATGAGGTAATCAGGCTCATTTTCTCAATTGTTACTGTTATGATTGTCATTTATTATCTGTGGTAATCATAGAGTAGACATAATATATAATTCTGTATATATACTTTATGGTGGTAGTACTAAATTTGCATATTCCGCTACGTATAGTCTACTGAATATATTGTGTGTATCATCGTTTTTAATGATATTTAGCCATCATTAGAGAGGCAGGTGGTCTGAAATTTTGTTTAAAAGAGACGACTACAGCTTGCTATTAAATGGGTCATTGCTCTCAACTTGTTTACCGTTTCAATCATCATTATCCTGCCCTTTTCCCGTATCTGGTTGTAGTCGGCGTAATATTCTCTTCTTACATTCATCTCTATTTACAGTCATGTTACTATTTACTCTCGCTCTGGCCACATGATCTTTCATGCAGTTCATTTATCTCTTTTTTGGTCTTACTCTGCATTTGCTACTATCCATATTAATCCATAACACGTTTCTTAACACATTCTCTTTTTCTCTGTTTGTCATTTCATGTAGTTTTATTTTTTGTTTATATTTATACTTGAACTCACGCTAAAGTAATACATTCTCTATATGTAGGTAATGTAAATAATGTATGGCCTATTTATATATATTCACTAGCAAATTATATATACTAATAATGTAAATAAGAATGTTTTAGATATATGATAATATGAGTCAATTGTGTTTTATAATATAGCTTTTGTCCGTGGTTTTATTTTTGTGAGTTGAGTAGAGATGTAAAAAAACTATCTTATTTATTAAAAGTAAGTCAATATCAACATCAAAACTTTATTAATGACACAATATATTTAAAAATAAACCTTCATTGTATATACGCCACCCTGCACAATTAAGAATTATGACATGTATATACATGTCATGAAGGAAATGTGGGGTTACTCTCGAAATACAATCCAATTGATCGATATTGGAATTGAGACGTTTCACAATCTCGAATTGTAATACTAGTGACATAATGGGTCCATATTGATCTGATAGATACGTATTAGTGTAGCTTGTCACTGCAAAATATTGCAAGCTGATCTCAATTCTAACCTAATTCCTAATAGTTGTTTCATGACTGCAGCACAGAATTGTCATCGGCAATTGTTTAAATCGAAATACTATTTTAAATATCATCGCGCCATTTAAGTATCATCATTAATTACATATGTAATTAGCTAATTTAAGTTATTCTCAAGAGATGCTATCTATTAATTATGATAATTATAATTAATGGCTACATGTTTATTGATTAAAAAATCTTGTTTCTCATACTTATTTATAAATATTTAACTGTGATTATTAATACATAGACGTTATTTAAAAAAAAAATATTATTTATCACAAACATCCTGATCCCTTCATGTCAGAAGGCGCGATAATCGGTTTACTGGTGAGAATAAAAACTTTTAATACAGCATTTCTATTTTACCAAATGTTAGCTTTATTTTCTGATACTCATATAACATGCAAGAGAAGTAAGTTTGAACAAAGTAAAATAACAAAACTAAGGCCACGAGCAAAGTTGAAGGCAGTATAAAATACTTAATAAATTCTGAGAGCAGTTGATTATATTTCACTGAACAAAATAGATGCTTTTAAAGTATAAAGAAATGAAAAACTACATACTTCATATCGATCCTTCACTTCATACTTATGTATATTTTTATAGTCATATGGCCAGGTATCCGTGTGGTCCCTGCATAGGCCACCCCTTTCTTCCCTATGGATATCGATTTGTGCGACTAAGGGAGGGCGAGAGATGGGCAGCAGCATCCCTCTTAAAAACCAAACTGCGTTTGCCAATACTCCTGCCAAACGTGGGAACTGCTGGCGAAAGCTCTCAATAGAGTGTCTTATGTTTAGCAGTGGACAGTTTTTTTTGGGTTAAAATGGCATGGTAACCCTGCCTGCGCTATCGGTATACACAGGCGGGGTATCAGTGAGAGGTGATAGGTGAGGATGAAAAGGCCGGTCAGTTAGCTCATCGTGATGAATTCAACGATAAATTAGTCACGATAGTTTCCAGGGGAAACCGCGTGGAGGTCGGTGGAGGACCTGATAGCAATGGGGACTAATCTTCGCATTGCTAACAATCCCTTCCCCCCAGCAGTGGACAGTTAAAGGCTGTTATAATATAATGGCTAGGGTAGATAAATAGATAGATAGATAACTTTTTGATTTGTGTTGAGTAATAAGTACAGGTGTTATTTAATTAGGTATGTGTATCATAGTTAGTAAAAATAGTAAGATAATAAATAATTATTTTGTTGTTAGTAATGTGGATTTTAATTCTGTTGTATCACCAAGTCCCCTAGAGTTTATAAATTGTATTTTTACGTACATACACGTTTCAGAGTTCGGATGATTCGATTCGACTTTAAGGTGAAATCCGATGGAGGTGCTTTATGTGGCATGAATGAAACTGAAAATGTAATCATGGTAATGAGAAATGAACAAGTAGGTTCAATTTGATATTTTTCTGTCTTTGAATAAAGATAGAAAGACCCTTAAGAAATAAGATTTTTCATAATTTCGATTGAAAGAGTTTTTTTTTAAAGCCGAATTCCTATTCCTTGTTTTATTGTTTTCTCATTATTTATGTTTTAAAATTACCAGTCATTTTAATCACAGCGATATATGAAAATATTATATTAATTAAAATTATGATTTTTTTTTTATAATTATGCATAGAAGAGAATAGTTGGAACCAGGATTTGGTCGATCTCATAAACGATTTTTATTGTTATGGTGAATGTGTCACTCGATATGTCTACATTTCGTCGGTCACATTAGAATCCAACGTGACAGAAGTGCGAGCCTATCGCCGTTAATCTTTTTGTGCAATAAACTAAATAAACATAGCAATATTTCAAAGCCTCCGTTCGCTTTTTTATAGATAGAATCGCTCAACAAAGCCGGATTTTTAAGTGACATACGATTCAAATGCTTTCTGTGTCATATATCAACACGGTCCTTTTGATTGATATGCATTGTAAGCTGGATGCGCCATATAAATCAACATAGACTGTCAATGTTGGTGAGTAAATCGTCAATATGCTGCACGCAATGTGGCGTAGTTGTATAACAACGTAATTGCAGAACGCCCCTGTTCTTTCGTGTTTGTTTTGTCTTAACTGTTGGTCACATATAAATATATACATCCTACATGTTTGTAAAGATGTTTGTATGTTACTCAATCACGCTTAAAGGCGGAACAGATTTGAATGAAATCTGGTACACTAAAGTGTAAATATTCATCATGTAAGTATTAAGACTAGAATATCTGGACTTTACAAGGAATCACTTAAAGTTACAAGATAGTATAACAAGGTTTGGCATTTTTAAATTGATTCTATTAATCTCCATAAACTGTTTTATAAATCTGCTTGGCGCATTTATACACCCTATTTATTTATTACTACACTGACTTTTGCTAGTGACTTCGTACGCGTGACCGTGATATGTTAATTAACCGGGATTAAAAGGAGTGTCCCATATAATATGTGTATACTAAATTTCATAGTGGTGAAGGCATTAAGGCGCTATAAGGTAACAGATAAACTTCTTTCACATTTATAATATAGGTAAGAATTACAGAGTTCGTTAATTTATTATTAGATATACTAAATAATATTGAAATGATTTACATGTCTATAAATAGAATGTCGTTTTACAAATGTGTAAACACATTTCTAATAACTTCAAATACTATTATATTTTTAAAAACTATTTATGAATTTATATTTAAATTTAGAATTTATATGTATATTAATGATTTAGATTTTAATACTTAATGCACTAGGATGCAAAATACATAATAATAAGTTGTGTCTCATATACTTAATTGTTTGTGATCGAATTTCTGGTCCAGGTATGTTACTTTAATCATTAACTGAAATAAATGCCACATTAAAACTCAGCAGCAACTGATTATCTTTTTTGATAACAGGATAACTTATTGAACTTAATGAAATA